AATCGGTATATCTTAGTCTGGAGTGATGGTAAATTTTACATTTATAATGGAATTTAGACATACGCACGGCGCTTGCTCTTGTAGCGACTCGATTCTGCTAGCCCAGAAATGGTAGACTCAGTGGTAAGTAACAACATGTTTAGAAGCCTACCTACATATATACTGTAGGTACTCCTGCAAATCTAGAGCTTCCCATCAGTGTCTTGAGAGCGGAGTTAAGCGTAGTACCGAAGAGTTGGCAAACTAAACGACATTGAAATACTATGCATACCTACTAGGTACCTACCTAGGTATGTATATCCCGTCAATAAAATTACACTTGCAAATAACCCTTGCTCGTGATATTCCGCATAACTAGGTTAATGAGTAATAGAACTAAATACCTAGTGCTTACCTACCTATACAGAAGCATCATGAAACGGACATTGCGTATGTATACCTAGGTATATTTCAGGATTGCTTGCCCTGGCTCAAGCAAGGGTTGAAATTACAAAGTCTGGGGTCGTTGAGATTGAGGGGTTAGGTTGGGTTAGGGTAACTTGGAGTATACGAAATATGCTGTACGTTAGGTAGCTATTGTCTTTATTACATAGGTGGACTTTTGAGTTTATAGCTGAGTAAGATGTATGTTATAGGTAGGAGTTTAGTAGTGATGGGCTCTCCCGTGATTACCGCTTGAAAGTAGGTAATAGGTGGTGTAAGTAGGTATTTCGGGACTCTGTTGATTCCGTATCACCAGCAATTGACGATTATGAATAAACCGTGTCGCGTATTTATTTCACATTGTAGTTGATTGCTATGAAAGCAGTATGTCAAACAGAAAAAGCAACTCGATCATACCGAGTTTGCTGTCCTCATCCATCCTTCCATCCTCCTACACGCAAGGGCACTCATATAAATTACACGTGCAGGAGTGACTGACTTATGCCGCATAGCAACTCTTATGTCTGTCGGTCTGTCTGTATTATTCGGAATTGTAGCACGAGTTATTTAGTGTTCCAGCGGATGGCTAACCTAGGGATCTACACCTGCTAAGAGGTGGGTTATTTAATAGATGATGATGATGATGATGATGAGAACGTTAACGTTTATTAGTTTGCTATGGCTAGGTAGCTATAGCGAGCGCATTTATAGCGTTTTAAACGTTTAGAATACCTTTTTCGAAAGAGACAGAACTAGAGTTTCGCTTAATATAAAAGATTTTCCACTTTTTATCTTTAACTTTTACCTGCTTATAGTATTATTTTACCTGGTAAGTGCTGGCGTTAAATAGCCAACTTTAGTTAAGGGAAAAACCGTCGAATATATTTTTTTATAACAGAGATAAAACTACTTTTAACGCCTAATAACTAATGCGCAAGGAAAAACCTAAGTTGGACCATTTTTGGTTTGATTATAATAAGATTCGAACCTATTTGTATTACGGTACGTAGGCACGGACCAACACACATCCAGGCGTTAAACCACTACATACGCTATATGGGTGGTTATTCAATAGAATGATATCGACACTCCAAAAGTCAGGGATATAGAATCAATAGTGCTGTAGTATCATGTGACGCTCTGCAGGGTTTACATGTTCTATTATGTAGTAAAGAATATTTACAACTGCTATGCATTAGCTCGTAGTGAGATCGCCAACATCGTCGTCACGGAACCCTCAAGGTTGCTAGTTACCTAATTTTGCTGTTGGTGCCCGACGTCATGTTTCGAAACGTTGAAGAAAGATGTCGGAGCGCAATCGATAAGACAGAATCAGCGTGTGTTAGTTACTTGTCTCCAAGTCAGAAGTCAGCCTGGCCCCCCCTGGCGTAGCTTTTCCCCATCTTAATCGGGCCGGCCGACGCGAACCCCCTCGTGAGTCGCGAGGCTTGGACGGGGGTCCGTTCCGCAAACAGGAGGTTCTTAACAGCAGCAGCTATAGCTGCAGTAAGCAGGGATCGGGCTGATTTCCGAAGTACTTGTGTAATTGGTTTGCGCGGCCAAGACAACCTGTTCTAGAAGAGTCGTGCATACTTACCAGGCTGTCTGATCATTGATGTAGTTACCTTCTCAGAGTTAGCTAGCTAGTCCTCCGGTGTGCGAAAATGAGGTAGTGGTGCTACGCTACAGAAAGCTATGGCGCCATCTAGAGTGTTTCTAGTCAGTGCACAATGCGACTCCATCTGCATCTGGAGAACTCGCCCAAGCGTTCGAGGCGATCATATGGAGACCTAAGAATCGTTGGGTAGATACGCTACTTGAATATCCATTTGTCGGTCCTAAATATGGCATATCTAAGTGTCTAGCGTTATTATTAGGCTTCATTCCATGATATCCCAGTGCTAGGGTTTGTGAGCTACAGTTATCTAGGTTAGAGGCTTGGTCGGTATATGTATGAGACAGCAGACTAAACTTGCCATGGCATATAATCCGTACCGGTGGCTTGCTCTCCTTGGCCCGCGAACTAATAGTTTTCCGTTGTTGAGATAGTCGGATGTCACTGTTTTACAAAGCTTGCTTCTTAGGTAGGTAATCTACCAAGACAATGTCTTAAATGTCTTAAATTGCCATTTTCAGTCAACTAGGTTTAACCTGGCGGGTCTGGCGGGTTCGGCGGGTAGTTCCGAGTGGCAGACCAGCTGCATTTCTGTACGGTTTTTAAAAGCTTGGTGACCTTCGTGGGAGGCAGGATATCCGAGCGGACGAACTGTGGATTATCGAACATGTCTCTGAACCAAACAGCACTGCCTCTTGGTTGCCGTCAACTGCCGAGCCACCTCGCAAGACACTGTCTCAGATAAGCTTTATTCTTATGTCGTCATGTCTTTCCTCCAAGGTGGGATATAAAGCTTGGTAATAAGTCAAGACTTAAGATATCCCGTGGTGCAGCTCAGTGTCAGATCTGAGTTCGAAACCGGATATAATAAAATATTCGTGGTTTAGCCCGGATAACTCTATCCATATGCCTCCAATTTTCTGAACGAGTATCAAGAACGTGGGATTATAGGTGGTTGAAGACATGATGCAACGAGACATGTGTTGGAAGAAGTTGCGAATAGGAAGTGGTCCATCTAAAATGCATCCCAATTTCTACAAACAGATAAGATAACTGAACTGCATTAACCGATGTGGCTTGTTACCGCGAGGCGGTACTACCCAACCCTAAATACCTTATACCTTACTGAATGAAGAGTTAGAGCACATAATAACCGGCAGCAACACTCATTCATAATCACTTAGTTGATGCAGTCTAGAGTCGCATTCGAACAACTCCATCATTAATCGATTGCAACATCAATATAAGTGAAACTTGTCGAACGTGATAACCCAGATGATAGTGCAGCGATACTGTAGCAATAAAGCAAGATGCGATGCGATGCGACGCGACGGTTGCGCATGAATAATATGAGGCACTCCAACATAAAAGAGGAATACTCCTCGGCGCACGTAACACACGCATGCGCTGAGTGCGAAAATCGGCCTTCGAAAGTTCCTGTAGAGAGACTACGTGCATGTAAGTACTTACCGGCACTGATGGTTCCAGATAGATGATACTGTTGTATAACAATTTATCTCGCGGCGGCGGACATCTATACAGAACCATACTTACCAGATTTGTATACCGTTACAAAATCGTCTTGAAATGGCCGAACCGAACTTTTCTACCAATACGTAGTAGTACATCAACTGCTGTCTGAAACGGCCTTAGCCGTTCTTCTCCCTTCAGTACTACTCCAAAGACGTTGGAGTGTAATGCCGAAATAGGAAAGTCTATATTTTCTAGAAGACTGCTGACTCCGATCTGGTTCGGCCCGAGGGCCTGTTTCTTGAGACGATGCGGCGACAACTCTAACCCGATGTAATACGTAATCGCCGCCGCCGACGTCTGCTCTGTTGGTCCCAACCCTTTGGAAATTTGAACAGACTTTAGGTAACCATGCATCTCTCGGTTCATGCCGGAGCTCATTTTGAGGGGGGGTTGAAGTATACTATGTATCGGCCGAGTAGGCATGATGAATGACATACCGATTTTTGGCGCATGTTAGCATCAACATGATCGCTGACTACGGGATATCCCACGCTGAAAAGGGGGCTGACAGTCTGCAGCAAGTCGTGATGAAATTCTCATGGCGTTTTAGATTTGCCAATAGACAGGCACGAAGTCGCCTCGTCACATCTTGACCTAGTGCTTGAGTTTTTACAGGTGCGGCATTTTCGAAGTTGTCGTGACAAGGAGGTAACAATACGCGTGGCGTTGGGTTTGCGTTTTCGTTCTCGCCATCATTGCCTCTCATTGCAATCATTTGCCCTATGTAACGACCAAGACGCCAAAATCTGACGCGTAATGAGTCGACGAGAATCAGGTTCTAGTACCTAGACTCGGGGAGTAGCGGAAAGTGGACAGCGTATGCGTCTAAAACCAACGCGATGCTATACTGCGGGTTGATATTCATATACTTATTAGTCATATGTTGTGCCTCTAGACCCTTGCTTCGTGTCGGCCATTTCTTTTCTGGGCAACGCTATATGATTTGACGGCTCGACTTAGCGACTTAGTATGGACTCGTAGTTCTGGCCCTATGATCTATCTAGATAAAAACGCTTGGTAGTTCGCTGCCCCGTACTCTTCACCATATGTATGGGGCCATGGGCTCACTTGAAAAAGACTATGGTGACGCGTTCTTCTATTGGTCAAAGCGCCATGTTGTTAGAAACCCAGGATAATTCCATAAAACCATACAACGCCCCTTGCATTGGGGGTGCTGATCGGGACAGTGGAACGGCGGGGAACAAAATCGTAAGGCAAAATCTGAGACCTGCAGAAGAATAAGCCAGTAGAAATGCGCCGTTGATGTTATCAACTGTGAGAGGCCACCCTTTCAGTGATTTCTAGCGGCTCCGAGAACCAATACGCCGGAACGCTCTTGTGACTGGTTGTAGCGAACTGTACGGATTAGGGATTGGTCAATTACCCCTTCAGCGCCTCTTGTCTACCTAACCCTTCGCTCCCCTATTTTGCTACATGAGAACCCGCATAGGTAGTAGGTAACCGCATCTAATCCCAATGCTTGAATACGAATGGTTACAAGACCTAAGATTTTCAGCTGACATGGTTGTACATACAGCGTTGACAAGTATGAAGTACAATGCATAGTTGGTACTTGCTATACCTAGTTCGTTCCGCGTGTTCTGCGGGGCGCACAAATTTTCCCTCTTTTTTTCTCTTAGTTAATAGGTTTTTTCTTCTCTCTTCCGATTGGGAACCCCCGGTGCAGGTGAGTCGCATCGTCTCCGAAACGATTACCTATTAAGGCCAGCTTGGCCGGCACTGGGAAATTTGCGAAAGCCCCTGACGGACTGTCGGGTTGTTTTCGCATGATATCCATCATATGATGGAGTAATATGAGCGACAGATCCGATGATGCCACGAGGCCCATGAGCTCGACAGGGCTGAGACATTTCCCAAGAGCTCCAACATCCTAGAAGGCATCGAGAACGCTTCGCTTATTAGGAACTAACCGATCTTAAGGCATGGTGCCGTGCAGTTCTGTTTGTACATTTCTACATATGTGCATGTTCGTTTTTCATTTCTTACTCTTGGCAAAATGTAAGAGCAAGACGTTGTAAACAGGATCTGTACGTCCATGTATGTGGCTATTTCTAACTGTTTGTTTCTTCTCGTATGTTAGTGGCAATGATCTCGAACCCGTAGGCCAGGCCAGACATCTATCTAATGGGACATAGATGAACGACTAAGCTTTGAGGCGTCCATGATTTGCATGGTGGCTTGTTTCGAGATAAGATAGAATTCTCAGCAAATCGCATCTCTAAATATCGACAAGCGAGAATAGACGAGCTTACGAGAAGTTGCCCTACACCCTCCTTTAGACGGCACAAGACTTCCGTTTGCGTGAAAAAGCAATTGACTATACGCCTAATGCAGGGTCAGTCTGACCGTCACACTGCATTTTAGCCTGTCTTCGGCGAACTTCGTACCTGCAGGACTAGCCCTAGATCGGGGGCAGTCTAATACATCTAAGATGTATGTATGTATCTCCATATAAAAGACTTACTGTATTATATAGCGCCGGCACAAATATCGAGGCTATGAAGTGCCAAGTAATGAAGCTTGAATTTGTTGGGTTTCTTGGCCTTTTAAGATGTCGCCAAGGTCGCCGTCGATAAGTTGCAATTACTTGCAGGTGTCGCCCTATGTATGCTCTATGTGTGCTCGGCCTGCGACTATGTCTCACCGGCACGCGAGATATTTTAGCTGCATTTCTTTAGACAAGGTTGGTGCAGGTCTTGGTATTATACGAATGTACATAAATCGTCGGGCTGTCGCCATTCCCAAATGGATCGGCTGGCAGCATCGAAGCTAATAATAACAGCCCGCAGTACAGCCTGATGGATTTAACCTTATAGATTCGGCCCGCCCTTTGACCTGTCATTTCGATTATGCCGAGTACTATGTAGTATGCGATGCACTGCACACGCAGTGTGTATGTGGAGGACAGAAAAGAATAATAGAAATCCTTCAAATAAATATGTAATATGTGTACCTAATGTATGATTTGCAGACGGAGAATCTTTTTCTCAACTCGATACCGACAGCGGGTTGTGCTAAGATAAGCGGCTTCGGGACGGCCTAGTAGGTGATCTAATATAGGTAGGTACGTATTATGTACTTGAAACGAAAGTACAGATTGCACATCTTATCGTAGGTACGTACCTGTAGCACGCTACCGGAATAACCGTAATTTTCTGCAGGTGCTATCAACTTTGTTTTGGAGTTGCCCAATTGCTCCTTAACCCCCCGATGCTTTTACCATACCATTGGTAAGCGGGCTAAGGGGCAGGTACTCCATAATGTCCCTACCACTTAGAAGGAGAGACTCGAATTTATCTGCGTGCCGCGAATTTGTGCGACAGTGGATCACCAGTAAGAATCCTCCAATGGCTCACTACTATATGTCATACTACCGAGGACATGCAAATACATACAACCACTGGGCATATGTACGCGCAGGATTCAGCGAATCTGCGGTAGAACCCCACTGGCCGCAGAGTTGATCCCTTGTTCCTTCAGAGAGCAAAAGGCCAGTGGCAGAGCAGAGCCCGCCGGGTCGCCCGAGTTACATAGTACTCGAAATCAAATTTCTCCACGAAGCTATTCAACAAGGCGCCAATTTTATTAGTGTGTTGGTTATCAGTTATCAATGGGGAAAAAAGACCGAACTTACCTAATTAATCTACAGTAGTCGAAACGGGAGACGACTTAACCGAGTATAATGACCCATCGTCTTCTCTAAACAGCCAAGCGTAGAGCTCTTCTAGGCTGCCAAGATAGCAGGGGAGACTGTCTGGAATTCTACTATGTAGTGGACCGAACTGCAAAGGAAGTTCCCTTGTGACCTTGTCAGACTCGAGGATAGATGATCGATGGCAAGACTTGGCAGATGGTGAACTCTAGTTTCCCCATGTGGTCCACCGGCCTCCGCTCGGGAATACCTACACCCCCAAGCAGCCCTTCCACCACTCAGCGGGCCAGGTTGTACGAAGTACCAAAGCGAGATACGTCAGGGCGACCCAAGAAGAGTAACTCGCAAGGATTATTCGTGCTCAATGCCTGTCGTATCTACCTTCTACATAACATGCAGTAACATGCAGTTAGGTACATACATATGTACAATACCGCAAGAAGCGAACAGATCCACCCCAAGAGTTGCAACCATCGAGTATCCGCTACCCCAAGCCCCCCGGCAATACGCCGTCAATTGGCTTTCAGAGTCGAGGCCGCCCCATCTATGCGTTAGGTTACATGTACCGTACTGTAGTGAACTCGGTGCCTTCACCTAAATATGTCCTTTCGTCCTGCCGTCTCTGTCTATTCATGTACTTCTGATCTTTTTGCTTTTTGGTGTGTCTCTCTTCGTTCATGTTCCCGCCTCTACTTGTGATTCATGTGTATGGGAATACCCTCATCTCATGAGATTCGGGGCCATGAACGCCACATAAGCTATTGATCCACTTACACATCAGAAGCATTCGCCGCGCGCCCCCGGCCCATGCCTGGTTGTTGGTCTGAAGTGATTAGACGGCTGCCTTACCTATATGCTTTCCGGCGCGCATAATTCTATTTGACAGAGTCCGTGGACCCAAAGATCTACCGAGTAGGAACGATTCGATTAATAGTCGCACATCTGCGAACACAACTACGATATACCTTTCTCGTTTTACGCGACACCCAAGTCGGTTTACATTAACCTCCTTAGGTTCGGTTTCCACCATCCCGGAGTCGAATATTCTGGTCGAAGTAGTAGCATATACACCTTATAGCTAGCGTCGTACGACAACGTTAGTATTGAGATTTTACATCGACGATTAAAATCTATTAAGTATCCCCAAGGATTGGGTCGATATAGAGATAATCTCAACATGGCAAACAACACGATAGCAGCCTTACGTGGCGGGTGCCCCGCGCCCTTTTTCAATGAGCTCATGTTCCCTGCGGTTGGAGGACGTAAGTCTCGAATCGATCTCATCCCTGAATGTGTGTCTAATCGGTCTATAGACGTGGATGGCCGGTTATGCGCGCCCTTTGCGACCTTGAATTGTTGTGTACCTTGCCCTATGACAGACTGGGCTTACCCAGATAATTTCACGACGGCAACGACGGCAGCAAACTGGGTCAATGTTGTTGGCATGATTTGCTGTGCTTTTCTCTTGATTTCCTGGATTGTGCTTCCCGTCGATAAGACACATCGCCACTATCTAAGTATCAGTCTCGCCTGCGCCGTTGTTCTCATGAATGTGAGTCAGCTCTTGTTTAGGGGTATGCAGCCTGAGCATAGTTAGCTAATCATCTACAGTTGGGCTTCATTATTCCTTTAGCGGCTAAACCAGAGCAATGTTATAACGAGATCACTCCGCACGGGATGGATACGAGTTCCGTATGCGCCGCCTCGGGTTCTTTCTTGCTGGCCGGTGGCTGGGCCGGTATCATGTGGGTTTTCTTACGAGCGCTTTCCCTGCATCTTCAGATCTGCTGGCAATTAGTCGTGGGCCGGAATTATATGTGGTTTTCTCAAGTGCTTGGTTGGGGTATACCCATCATCGGCCTCATCATCCTCCTTGTCTTCAGCGGAGTTTCGTTCCGCTTTGGGGCTACGTGCCATATCAACCACGAGAACAGTTTGGCCGATTTCTGGATTCCGCTGCTGGTATTTGCAGGCCTCACCGTTATCATTCAATTCGCTACCTTCGGATACTGCATTAAGGTCTACCTCGCATCTCTGACTGACAATAGCGCCACAACCGAAAACTCTGGCATGCCCTCTTACTCAAACAGCATCCGCACTATGACTCCTCGTCAGGCATACCGAAGAATACGTCGCGTTATCCAACTTCAATGGCGTGGCATCGCCATCGTGCTCGTTATTATCGCAGATGTCATCTTCTTCGCCGTTATCTTTGTCTTCATAGATAACACTGTGGAATCAATTAGAACTCATCCCGACAAGGCGTTGACTTGGGCGGCCTGTCTAATCCAATCCGGTGGTGATAAGAATACATGCTTATATTTAGCAAATGAATTAGTAGTCAGTCTTCCGACTGTCACGGCGGTCTTGATACTTCTAGCGGTAAGTGGCTATCATGGGGAATTGGTAATGGTTGACGAGGCTAATAATAGTTATAGATGAACGGCATTTGGCTGCTCTTACTACTCGGCCGCTGGTCAATGGTTACTGGCTGGCTCGACTTATTCGGATCATACACTGGTACACGTACCAAGAAAGAATTTGTGTCTGTTGATGCTCGGATGGATATTAAGCAGGACCCCCGGTCTTATGAAATGTTGTCTCGCGATTCCGGAAAGACAGACACCATGCTGACGCCAATTAGCTCGACAATGTCGCCGACCTCGCGAGGTGGACGCCAGACGCCGGATTACTTCGGACAAACGGCACGATACCAACCACACCAGCGATCGTTCTCTTCACCAAGACCGCCGCAACAGTTGCAGTGGGAAACGACACAAGAGTACCGAGACTCGTATCCATTACCATCGATGCCTGCGCAATCGCACGAGTATGAAAACATGAACCCACTAGGGATGAACAGAATACAGAGAGACGAAGAAGAACGATACGCGGCTCCGAGATCTCAATATACCCAGCCTGGAGCACCCGATTATAATCGCGACCATGTTTTCATCTAAGCAAACCCATTTTATTTAAGCAGGCTCCCTGCATAACAACTATCACGTAAATTTTTTCTTTTGATGTTACCATATCAAAACGGCTCAGTGCCTTAAACATATGGTGTTTTGAGGCTTAAAGCGCGGCGTCCCGGGATTGGACGGATTTTGTATCGATAAAATCACTCTTTACCCTAGAGGCGTGATCGACTGCAAAGGATAGGCAGGGCATCGGAAAATTTAGGAAGATATATACCCCAGAAGAGAGGGGGTGCCTCGGGGAAGAAGCAGCGAGGCAAAATGGTACAACTAAAAAATAAGTATTCATAATGTAGACACCGGGTTCAGGGGAGGAGAGATGGCGGTAAGCCGGCTGGCTGGCAGACATGTCTCATGCCTTGCCTTTGATGTCTAGAATAAAGTATTATCATGAAAGCTGACCAGGAGACGAAGTTATGCAGTGATGCCAAATTCGTTTCTTTAAGCACTTGGCTTGTTAGCTTTGGATAAGTGGTTTATATCAGTCTAAATCAATAAAATGGGCTATCCGCCCCAGTTTGACTTTTACTTTCTTGCTCGAGAGTGGTCTCTAGAGATTATTACGAACTTGGAATATTCCTCGCCTAATGAATCACATCCCGAAGCTGTTTGATGTTATTGATGATAGATATAAAAAAGGTAAATAGGGCTGCTAGGTGAGCTTACCTAATATAAGTCAGTTGGGCTGTACTTACGTATTACATGTCCATAATGCCTATGTTGACTTCATTCATTGCATAAGAAATCTTAAAGATGCTCATATTTATTTCCTAGAGTATAGGTACCTAGGTAGGTATAAACATTTGTATTTTTAATTTATGTCACCTCGATTGGAAGCACTGATCCGAGAACGATAGGGCTGCAGTTGCGTACGAGGTACATACATACATATGTGCTTACATGTATGTATGTACCTAGGAGTTGGATGGATTATGTAAAGCTTGTCTGGATGAATTCTCTGCCAGGGGTAGGTACATTAGGTAACATACATAATGCAATAGTGGGGTACGTACCCTGTTAAACCCGCCAACGTCGCTCCGTGACGGAAGGACTGGCTATCAGCTCTTCAATGCTTTAACTCAGCCCGATAAGATCTTCTCTTGCAGACATTAGTCTCTGCTTCTCTTGCCATTTAATTATTTTATCCTCGTAGATCAAAACACATGTTACAATGGGCTCAATACCATCATTATCTATCTTAATTGTCGTGTCTTGTTTCGGAATACTGGACATCGATTATCTTCAACCCTCCATTTAGAATAACACCCTCCTTATCCCGCCTACCTGAACCCCCGATTCTATCGTTACCCCCGATCTTCTTGGAGATATATATATAACAAGATGTATCAGATCCTCCTCTTCACATTCCTATTTCTTGGCGGTTACGTCCATTATCTGTGGAAAGCCGAGGCCGCCCTTCACGAACCATGGGTTCCCGACGTAGGCGACCGACTCTTCAGCCAGCGACCTCTTCCCCCGTTTAAGGAATCGTCTAGTATAGCAACCTATACCTTTCCTCTACGGACTCAGGGCCGGGATATCGTCGATGCTACCGGCCGTCGCTACAAACTCGCCAGCGTCAATTGGTACGGAGCTAGCGATGAGCTCTTCATCCCTGGCGGACTCGAAGTACAGCATCGCTCTGTTATCGCTGAAACTATCCGTATGCTGGGCTTCAACAGCGTACGCTTACCTTACTCGGACGAAATGGTCATCCGCAACCCGCATATCCTCCCCCATCTTCTCACCGCCAATCCCGACCTCGTAGGTCTACGCGCTCTCGATATACTTCAAGCCGTCGTTGAGGCATTGACCGATGCCGGCATCGCTGTCATCCTCAACAATCACATCACAAGTGCGACGTGGTGCTGCGGCGCCGATCCGTGCGACGCTGGCTGGGCCAACGATCAATTCGGCCCCTTGTGCAAAGTCTCACAGACCGAGGAGGAGTGGATACAACATTGGGAGACAATCATGCAGCCATTTGTGAATAACCCGAGAGTTATCGGCGCTGACCTCAGGAACGAGGTCCGCGGCGTCTGGGGCACCATGTCGTGGAACCGCTGGGCGGACGCTGCCGAGAAATGCGGGAACAGGCTCCTCAAGATGAACAGCGACTGGCTGATCATCGTCGGCGGGACAGAGTCCGGGAACGACCTGACGAAGGTACGCGAGCGGCCGATCAAACTCGACGTGGCGGACCGCGTCGTGTACTCGGCGCACGTGTACGCGTGGTCCGGGTGGGGTAGCCGGGAGGGCCGGTACGCGAAGCGCAGCTACGCGTCCTTCATCCAGGCGATGCGCCAGAACTGGGCGTACCTAGTCGAAGACAACGTGGCGCCCGTCTGGGTGGGCGAGTTCGGCGCGCCGCACCATCCCGGCGCCGGCGACGCAAATTACTGGCGCAACCTGCTGCGGTACCTCAAACGCATAGACGCCGACTTCGGGTACTGGGCCATCAACCCGCGCAAGCCGAAAGACAACGTCCAGGAGACGTACGCGCTTGTGCACGACGACTGGATCACGCCGATTCTGGATTATCGCATGCGTGATATGACGGAGTTGATTGCCGGCTCGGGAGAGGGTGGTGATGATACGTCGGATGGGGGGAAGAGCTTTGGCCCGGGAAGTTTATAGCGCGTTCTGACTCGGGGGAAGCATGCGCCGCGTTGTGTTTTTGGTTGGAATGGCGTGGGGGAATTGTGCTGGAAATACCCATCTAGGGAGCGGGAGGATAAGGACGATGAGGGCATGTGCGTTCGCCTTGGCACGGTTGCTAAAGGGTATTATTTTGTGAGGGCGGCTATTATTCCCGACTGGCGGTGATTGTCGTGGGTGAGGTTTAGATTGTGGGTTGGTTATGAGAGTTAGATAGATCCCTAGCGAGTGACTGGCTGGCTTTCGTCATGCTGGCACGCGAGAGTTGGCTGTGGTTGTGGTTGTTGGGTTGAGGCGGACTGACTTGTCTGCCCTTCGGAAGCGAGTTATAGATACCTCTAGACATGAGACCAAGTATGAACAATGAATAGCGACAGATTATGATTTTAGTTGAATACTCTCGATACATGGGATTTGTGTGGTTGTTTGATACGTAAGTATTGGTTTGGTTCTGGCCTGGATTAGAGTGATGGTCATTAAGGCGATTTTGTCACTCTAGTTTGGAGGACGGGACAAGGCCAGCGGTTAGCTAGGTAGATATTTTGAATGGAGAGGTTAGTTTGTGTTGAGGAGTTTCTCTTGAGAAGAAATAGTTGGTGGAATTATGGGATGGCTTTGTTCTTGCTTGGCTTGGGAACCCCTTTTTTCTCTTTGAATTGGTCTAGCTAGGTACCTGCGTGGATAGATCATTGGTGGTATACGGATTTCGGCGTGGTCTTTTTATATATAATTTTATATCTGTATAATAAACTAGGTATTATGTTCCTGAAGTACGTTTAGTCCTTGGGAGGTAGGTAGTTAAGCTCTGTCACTCTACTGCATGAGGATACGGCTTCTAACTGCTTAGAGTGCAATGTTGAGGGCTGAGAAGTGTATAGGGGAGTGGTTTTTTTCTCGAGGCTTTATTTATTTATTGAAAGTAACTTCTATACATTCATTGATTCTAAAAGTTTCCTGTAATTAGTTTAGGTTAGGTAGATTAGGATGTAGAATACGAAGTGGAAATGTTGGTAATGCGAGTAGGTATAGGGGGCAGAGACGCAAGCGATATATAGGGCTACCTAGCTATGAGTGTTTATGCTTATGAACTATTGTACGTATTTTCGTAGGTTTATAATTTCTTACCCATTGCTAGTACATGGAAATGAACTTCGGGTGAAGTGTTAGCTCCCTAACCTTCATCCATACAGGGTACGTCATCTCTCGCCAATCTCCCTTTGCTAGTACCTGGTTAAGCGGATCCGAGCTAAGAGACTGATGCGTTGTCTTGAAATACGTAACGTATAATCTTGACATGATATCTGCCAAAGTCTGTTATCTAAACCTATGGCTTGACATGACTGATTAATGTGTTCATAACTTTTTACCCCGAAAAGGGGCTGAAGCTAACCTATCCCGATAAATGCACGGAATGTCTAAGACGAAGCCTTCAGCTTGACTCAGAATCATTGAATTCTTTTCAGCTTGGCTAATAAGAGCATTTGACCAACTCTGCACGTCAATTAGATTTATTATATATTAGTTAGTTATACCATGTCTACAAGTTTTATTAGCGGAATTGTTCCGAAAAGCAACAATCGCGTGATGAAGTACCCGAACCGATACCTAACACGTCGTAATAATTGTGACGAGCTGGAACACAGCACATAAGTGCACTATAAATAGCATATAATTGCCGAATTATTAGGCGGTAGGGCGGTAGGAACCAACCAGCCCCGTTTGAGCTAATGCGGGCTCCACTCGGAACCCCGAGTATTTCACCTTTTTTTCGTTTCAAACAGCCGAACTCCAGATTTCCAAAAAACCCCAGAATTTTTACTACTCCCTTCCTTCTTAATACTTACTTTAATTACCTCCTTACCATGTATATGCGCTAACCTTCTCTTTTCAATATCACCGATCCATAATTCATGAATCAATTGGTCAGTTAAGGATAGTCACTGAGTATGTCCGAGAAGAATGGCGTCGCAAAAGATACTTCGCTACCTCTCGGCCTAATTCGAGATCGAACCTCGTCTTCTCTCATCTCCTCCGTGCTAAACATCGTCAATGGCCACATTGTCAGCAAGGAGAATTGGCTCAAGTCCGTCGAATGTCTTTATATGGCCAAGGACAATGAGGAGCCTAGCGGCAAGCGGAGACGCGTAGAAAATGGCAGTGTAGCCGCCGACTCCTCGGAGCTTCTGAGGAGAAGGTACCTTAATCTTATGGACGCTAACGAGGAACGCTACATTAAAGGGAGACCATATGTTGCTGTCTCTTACACCTGGCAAGCCTCGAAAGAAGAAGAGGCAGAAGAGGAGGCAAGAAAAGAATCGGCAAGGCGCTATCTTGTCGAGTCTCGTAATGCCGGCGAGCCTGCTCTGGCTAATAAGGTGAGGCCTATGATCTGGGACCGAGTACTGAACTACGCCGAGCATGTGGGCTGCAAGGATATCTGGATCGACAAGGAATGTATCGATCAGGAGAACGAGGCGGAGAAGGAAGCAGCAATACAAAGTATGCACCTGGTGTATAAATTAAGCAAGTGGCCAATTGCCCTCCTCACGCGTAGGATCAAGACTACAGAAGAGCTCGATCTTCTTACCAATCTAATGTGTAACGACGTCGCCCCCGAAGATGAACCAGCCGTGTTAGACCTTCTAGATGACATTACATCTGACCTGTGGTGGACGAGAGCCTGGACGTTCCAGGAAGACTATAGAGCTTCTACCCGAATGATGTTGCTTCTCCCACACCACTGGAGCTTAGAAAGGCGTAAACGAGCCATGGTAGATGACTCTGATCGGTACATTCTTGGAAAGGTCGAAGGCGAGATTTGTATAAAATCTGTGGACTTCAGGGAACGGGCTACCGAGTTCTGCCTTTTGTATCGGGAGAGATCAGATAAGGTGGATATCTGTAACAGGGTCATTAAGAGGGCCACAAAGTATAATGTTCTCCTCAACGACAAGTCTTCGGCGTACTCAGCATCACGTTCCATGTCTCCAACAATCCTCTCAGACATAATTTCGCGCAGTATTAGGAAAGAATCCGACCGCCTTGCTATCATGGCTAACTGTTGCGAGTATGGTACTCGTATCGACACAAACTCTCTCAACAGCGATGGAACCAGCCTCAGCTTATCGATCCTTGCCCAATATCTTCTAAATGGCGAAATCATAGAGAACAACCCGAAACGAGCCATCCTAGGTACACTTAAACACAACATCCACGAATACCTTTCTAAACAATCACTTAGTAGCTTTCGGCCTCCCGTCCAGCAAGGCCTTAATTTCATCAAAGGCTGTCGTTTTATAAACCCGCGACTGACTTCGGAGGGAACATTGACTAGAGGCCACCTTTGGAAACTGGGCAAAGTCATACGTCGGAAACCAATGAAGTATGAGAAGTACAGTACGCTGAAACCGCTTGCCCAATTTGCTACTGAGTTGCAATATAGAATATACGGCGCCTCCTACACGGATATCGCAGCCAATCTGATTAGTCACGTATACGCCCACAACCACTCTCCATACCGCGGGGGGTGGTGGCTTGATTGCATGGCCGGCGAAGTCGAGGAAGCCCTGATGCAAGGAAAAGCTCTTCGACTAGGCTGTCTTGTAGACCCTAGACACGGAACAGAATACGGTTCCTATAGCGCCGTCTTCGTGGGCGACAGCCATGATGACTGGAAGGGCGAGGACGAGGACGAGGACGAGGAAGACGTCAGCTATGCCTTTACTTCGTACCAATTCCACAAAGAAGATATGCCAGGGTATACCGAAAAACACGTATCGCTGGAGGTCGACATCGAGTGGCAGAGGCGCGACAGATCCGAGGGCCGTTCGTCCTGCACGCCACCGAAGCTATACATCAAGCGGTGGCTCAACGGCCTCTGTTTCTTCGAGGGGGCCCATACAGGGCAAGTCTTGTTTCCCTGGCATCCTACACTGCTAGAACAGGCGTAGGGAACCCGCGATTACTTCGAGCTCGGGATTTATAAGACATGAGACGAGACGAGACGAGACGAGAACACGAAACGAGAGAATGAGGGTCATCAAAGGAGCGTTGCATTTTTATTTTGTTTATTTTATTTTATTTTATTTTATCACGTGTACATAAGAAACTCCTCAGGTAGAGAGAATGAGGAATCCGAACCTAGAGTAAATATGACTGCAACGAATGAATATAGTGCTATTGAACCGGCATTCTCGAGTGTCGAGTATTAGTGATTAGGTACCTACCTATGCATAGCTTTTGCTGGTAGAAGACTGTCCTAGGAAAATGCCTATTGAGGTTTCCAAAGACTACAATCTATTAATCTGACGGTTATATCAGCTCAGTTTTCAGTCGTAGCTTGTGAGAACGAGTAAGAATATAACTTCATCTCAGCACAGCACAACACAACACAACACAGCACAGCACAGCACATGCTAAGTCTACGCTGATATGCTACAGGGGATGCAACGACAACATCACCATACCACGTATTACAGACATAACCATCTCACCTCGATACTTGCCGCTCACTTCGCCCCGCTGCATAAACAATTACCCATCATCCCTAACAGAATACCTAGGTACCTAGGTTAGGTAGACAAGAATCTCGGGTAGGAACCTCACATCTCCACACAAGACAAGACAATACAAAAACTTACACGCACATCACATCTCCATAAAGTCGTTAAATCATCCATTCTACGAATTTTTATATTCGTCTCATATCAGCTGTTTTTGTTTTTGTTTTTTGTTTTTTTTGGTTCTGCTCCGGAACTCGGAAAACGTAAAAAGCCTAATAGGCTATCCGAATACTCCGCCTCTCCTCCCCCCCCCCCCCTTGTAGATCGTAAAAACTTGCCTAGACACATGAGCTTTGTGAAAAGGAAAAGAAAAAAAAAGAGAGAAGGAAGAGAATAAAAAAATAAAAAAATCCGTGTCATATTTCATCCTTCTCCCAGCTGCTGAGCTGCTTTCCTCTCCGCAACGTACTGGTTGGTTGGTTGGTTGGTTGGTTGGTTGGTATACGGGACAAGGGCACCAGACAGTCGATAGACAGGCACGAAGAAAGGCGATCGATCAAAAAAAGGAACGGAGTGAATTGGATTCTGTCGAGATTGTACGACATGGATTTCAAACACCGATTTTGCACGGGTGAGAATCAGACATGGCAACACAACACGACGACATTGATGCGAGACGAGGGGGGGAAAACCCCCCTAAACAAGTAGTGTAAATGCGACAACGACAAACCCCGCCCGATTTCTGACTACCTATCTGTCTGTCTGTCTGTCCGGGGGCGTCTTTTTTTATTCGAAAAATAGGCCACCATCGGAAACGACAAAAAAAGTCCCGTGTGCCTAATAACTCCGTTGCTAACAAGTCCGCACTTTGAACACAAAAGGAAAATAGAGAAGAAAAAAAAATGCATGTCCCAAACCCGGAAAACGCCGTTGCTGTGGACTTCATTTATAGAAACGATTGTTGTGTTGCGATAGGTACGTTTCAAATATGTGACATGCGCAATGTCGAATGTGAAAACTCAAATTCGATCCGTTAGAGTAGTGCCTGAGTCTCAGAAGGCTTCGCATGTGGCCGTGGCGTTGGCTCTTCGGCTGCTTCCTCGTCTTCTGCGATAGTCGCCGTCGTTGATTTTGGTGTTGTGTCGGAACCTTGGCCGGCGGTACTTGGATCGAGCGTTGAAGAAACTTCCGGCGGTGTCTGCAAGGGGGCTCTGGATGGCGATATAGCACCCGAAAGTGGTGAAACATCGCTCTCCCTTGATGGAGTGACTACCTGGGTTATAGGTTCTGGGGTAGTGTCGGATGATGAGATAGCAACACTGTCGTGACTATTTGCCCTCATCATTTCAATCCCGAGCTTTGAGCTAGGAGTTGGCTGCTTGCCACGGAACCCACGATCTCGATGCGTACCAAGCTCGTCGTCTTCGTCATCTGCCGAGTCATTACCTTCTACACGCCGCTTCTCGAGATGTTCACGCCTTGAACGAAGCTTCTCTAGAGATCGCCGGGGAGCTGGCATTCTAGGTTGCTCCATTTGGGCTGGGGCTGATTGTTGAGAGATGAGCGGAATGGGCATTTTCGGGACTCCTCCGGAACTTCCAGACGTCTCCTCGTTACTAATACCAAGGCCAGACTCTTCTCCCCACTCGCCCATACCTTTGCGACCAGGGATCACAGGTATTTCATCGGTAGTCGCGGATTCAGAGTCCCCAAATAAACTAGAACTGATGGAATCTTCCCTGCTCGACCCCCTAAAGCTACTGCCTGGGTGAGCATATCCAGATGATACCGAGGTGGGACTCTCTTCCATGTGTGGGTTTTTCAGTCTCACACTAGTGATAGGGTTTGGAATTGGTAGGGACTGAATTTGACCTGGTGTCGGCGGTTTCCATTGGCAAAGGTTGGAAAGAACTTCGATCAGCTTAGAAGAGCTGATGGGTTTCTCAATGAGCGAGTCAAAATAATGAGGAGCCTGCAACTCCTTCAAGTAGGCTGTAATTGCAACAATAGGCGTATGAGCATTGACGTTCTTGACTTCGCGCACCATCCGGGCAACGTCCGAACCGCTTATTTCGGGCAGTTTAAACTCGGTAAATATGATATCAAACTTGATTTCGCTAACCGCGTATCGAACTGCATCTGAGCCGGTCGACGCGGAGATGGTACGACACCGCAGCTTCTCGAGCAACTTCTCCATCACCATTCGTGAAACTGGGTGGTCTTCGCAAATTAGAACGTCTAAGGAGCGGAATGACGGACTATCAAGTACAATAGCCGACATCCTGCGAGAGGACTGGCGACGTCGTTGCACTTTAAGAAGGGCACTCGCCCGTTCGTTTTCGTTGTCCGACGACGAAGGAGACATGTCAAAAACTTGGCTTCGACGATTGCGATGGTGCGCAAGAAGGTCAGCAGCTACAGGACTACCTTCTTGAGAGCCTACGGTTAGAGATCGCGATCGTGTCGAGGATTCGCTTGGCTGTCTTGGAGTCCCTGCTGTTCTATGCGGCGATAACGGTAACGACAACGGCAACGGAAGCGGTGCAACTTTACCCTTCGCGGGGGACGGAGAAGCTGCCGTTGCTGATTTTTGAAGGCTAGGGGTAGTACGAGGCACATCAAAGAAGCTCCCAGGCTGCAATGATCCAGAACCAGATTGTTGCGACAGACTTGAAGAATTGCTCGAGGCCTTCCTGCGACCCTCTGCTCCTTGACCTGCATGGAAGGATACGAGGAGTGGCGAAGACGGTTGAGAAGCACGGCTAGGAGATGAATTGGCGTGGCTAGCCGTGGAAGGCGATGCCGGGCGTTGTGATGCCGACGCCTTAGCATTGGACAAGTTGCGTTGTATTGGGTTGGATAAGATCGGGCTCCCTTCGAGCCCGGGACCTGGGGAAGTAGGATTATTCCCACCTGGACTCGTTCCGGCTCTGTTCTGTACCGCCATCGCCTGAGCTTTCAACTGCTGGATGACATCTTTATTGGCTTTGTCAAGCACTGTAAGATTCTTGAAAGCAAATGTTCCAAAATCATCCGAAGCTACCGGCTCACTAAGTCGACGACTCTTTAGATCTCGGATGTGGGGAGGTATGTGCAATGGCATCAAGCCTCGTTTGATCTGGTTGACCTGAACTTGGGACCGGACACGCGATAAAGCATCGTGCGGGCGATCAGGATAATCCGGTGTCGCGACCGATGGAGGCGAAGCTTGATCTTCGATCTCTTCGGTGAAAGACTCCAGAGTGGCACCTCGAGCATCAAAATATTCTGTGTCTTCGGGGTTCTCGGGTTGAGGAATAAACTGGGCATCATCCTGTAGTAGAGTAGCCCAATTGATACCTTCAAACCAGGGGTGGCTTCTGATCTCTTCTCCGCCGGACTCGTATTTCCCCTCACGATTCGAACCTAGCCTCTGCTGCGGGTCGATGCAGAGCAATTTATTGATAAGGTCTTTCGCCTCGGACGATACCTCGTCGTCTGACTCATCTGGCCACATAATTTTTCGCCCGAGTATGTTCTCAAAGACTTGTTCCGCCTCGTCGGCGTGGAAAGGGGGGTAACCATAGAGGAACTCAAACATAATGCAGCCGACTGACCACCAATCACTAGTCTCGTCCTGTCTAGCACCTTTAATGGTCTCGGGGGCGAGGTAATCGGGAGTTCCTACGAACCGACGGTTTGTGTCTTCGGGGTCGAATAGAGCCATTGGAGGAGGCATCATGCTCGACTGAGGCGGTGTATTCCTATGCATGTCGCTATTGTGGCTGTTGGCGTGTTGAAGCGATGGTAAATCAGGAGAAGCATTGCCGCCGTCACTCACATCATCGCGCGGAGACCGTAAACTAGTTTGACTATGTTGAGGGTCACCTAAAGAGAAGTTCCCCATCATATGCGCCAACGTTTCGCTACCACCACTGTCGCTACGTTGACCAGATGGATGAACCTGTGAGAGGGTGAAATAAGACGGTTGCCCAACTCCAATATCCGGGGTTATCTGCGGTGTGGCAGCGGGAGAATGGTGACTACCATGGAAGTCAAGTGAAGCTGACCGAGACGATGCCACGGATGTCGACCGAACAAAAGGCCCCGTCTTAAGTAAATCGGGTGTAGGCTCGGCGTTTCCACTATTTAGAGCTCTCTTTTGGCGGCCGATTAATCCCATGCGTGATAGACCAAAATCAGTCAATTTGAGGTGACCTTTTTGATCGATGAGTAGATTATCGGGTTTTAGATCACGATGGATTATACCTCGATCATGTAGATGCTCTACACCGAGAATAACTTCACCGAGATATTTCTTTACCCACTCCTCTGGTAGTCCCCCGAGGACTTTAATGAGGGAAGCACAATCGCCTCCATTCAGATACTCCATGACAAGATACAAGTAGTCCTTGCTAGAGAACGTCCAATACAGCTTTGCAACGAATTCGCTCTCCCCTTGCCACATCATAATAGCCCTTTCGGCTTTAACATTTGTGACTTGATTTTTAGCCACCATGTCCGCCTTCTTCAAGACCTTAATTGCGAAATATTCACCCGTGGACTTCTTCTTTGACAGGTAGACACTGCCAAAGGCACCCTTGCTAATCGGTTTGATAATTTCGAAGTCTTTGATTGAAGGGGGGACTGCACGTGCCATTGGTGGATGATTGGCAGGGTTTAAACGGGGGGACGTGGGTCGATTTGGGAAGTCCGACATGGCCGTTGACGATTGTCGACGGTGATGCGTAAATATGGCCGGTGAACTAAATTCACTACTAGGGAGCATAGGCGAAGGCTCTGGAGAAACGACTCCATCTTGTGAATATTGAAGATTACGAGGCTTATGTATTCGTAATGGCGATGAGGGCTGTGTGGCTCTTGAAGGTGACTCCTGACGATGAGGTGATGATGTACCAGTAAGGACGAGGCTTCGCCTTTGATGTTGGCGCGAACTAGTAGCACGTCGTAAACCACCCCGTTCGGACATAGGCGAATCAGTCCGAGGCGGTTTCCGCGCTACGGAAGTGGATCTGCCACTGCCATCACTATCTCCGGCATCAGTCTCAAGTAAGGCAGATCCCCGGCGAGAAGCTCGGGATGTATTAGAGGTGCCTAACACCTCCCGGTGGGATTTTGGCGTTAGGCATTCCCTAGGGCTGCTTGACCTTGTAGACTCAATAATAGAAGAGGGGCGCCTTTTGTCGTTTGCATCGCCCAAGTCCACATTCTTGAGAGCAAGTGCCAGTGAAGAGGCCGTATCGAATGACCCAGCAAAAATAGGCTCTTCCTGTGCCACCGGGGTCTCTTCGATCTCTTCCTCCTCTTCCTCTTCTTCCTCATCGTTGTCGTCGTCGTCGTCGTCGTCGTCCTCTTCTTCTTCGCCTTCTTCATCCTCAGTCGAGTCGCTCAGCCGGCCTTCAGCGATACGAGCTGCCTTGCGCATGGCATCTTCGACACAATTCTCCACTATGACGGTAAGTTCAACCCGGATCCGTTCCGCGTACTCGATTATCCTCCTATGGCGAAATACGGCTTCGACCTTCTCTTTAGCAACCCGTTCGGTTTCTGCACATAGCAAAGCTAAACCCTGCTCCTGTTCAAGGGTGTTTGAGCCAGGAGATTGCCATTGGAGCACCTGAGATATTCGAGACTCGGATTGCGGTGACTGGGTTCGAAATTCTTGCGATGATGATTCCTTGATTGCGGGTGTGCTAATTTCGATAGCGGTATCACAGAGGTCCAAGAGCAACTCCACAATACGGGCTTGAGGACGCCGCACCGCAAACGATCGAGAGCGACCATGGCCGAATCCGGTCGATCGATCCCTCGACGATGGAGTTGGAGAGGCTGCCCCGGGGGAGGATGTAGTAGAGGAAGGCCCTATAGGCAAGCCCTTGTACTCAGCAATAGGTATCGATCCTAGCTCTCCTGAAAGAGTACGGCTCTTGCGGGCCTCTAACGCATCTAGCACTTTGACGATGGCGTGCCGGTGTTCAGTTAAATTCTCTTGGGCTATCTGGACATCCATTTCAGCTCGATGCTCTTGAAGGCATAGATCCGTATGTTTCTCAAACCACCAAGGCGGGATTTGGCGTTCGCAGATGCGGCACAAAACTGGTAGCGGCGGCGGGTTTTTTGCGGGATCATCGTTTCCAGACTCAGCTAGTTGGGTCAAATAGCTAGCTAGAACCTCAGCGCCCGACCCAAGAGAATCTACAAGTAGCGGTGCCAGGTCAATTTTTATCTCTCGTGGTGGAACCCATGGCCGGATCATCCACATAGTCTGGGAGGAGTCAGCTTCGAGTTAACTAGTATGAGTTTGGTTTCCTACATGACTTTCGCCTCCAGTAGTGCGATCGTAGACCATAATCCCTTGAGCCTCTAACTCGACCGTGGCAGGGTTGCTTTGGTCTGCTTCAGACTCCTTGAGAGCATCGGTAGGGTATAACTTAGACAGGGGACCTAGGTAAACGGTAAATCGGATATAGTGGCTGCGTGAATCATCATTCTTCATTGAATCAATAGCTTCGGCAAATGCAGACTTATCCTCGCTAATAATCAAGTCGGCGATCGGAGTGCCTTCGACGGCATCTGGATCTGTCCCAATAACATCGGCCCATGACGGGCTAACCCACCGGATAGAGCCATCGAGATTGAGGTCCACAATGACATTCAGAGTCTGCTCTGCGGCCTCACGAAGTTCTTCACGCTCTTCCCTAATGTCTGCGCTTATAGATCTTTCCATTGAACGGCCGATGGCTTGAGCACGGAGCGAGGTGACGGCCGGGGGGGCCAGCCTACTGGTATCCTCGTCCATTGTTGAAAAACGACCGGTTCGTTGCTCAATTGCGATGATGGCATCGGGCAGTAAGCCTCTTAGATCGAGAAGAAGCCCTCGACGGTTTAGCAGAGGCGCAAACGCGTCCGGGCGGAAGGTAGGCGTATCGTAAGATTCGGTTCTTGGTCAAGATTGACCTCATGCAAAGCCAAGATATCTGGCAGAAAGCCAGAGTCAGAAGCTTGCGAGAACCCGAGACATGACGGTGAGTGACGTGCGTAGTTGGTCAGGTCACTCGATTCTGGCAGAGATTGATCTGTTTGAGGGTTGAGGACAAGCCTCTCAGCTCGGACCGGGGCAGCCAGCACGCTCGAGTACTATCGCGATCCGATCGTATTGTTGACAAAGGGGCGGTAGCGACGGGGGGCCTAATGGAGGGGCCACGAGTGACGAGGATAAAAGAGCACAGGGACGTTATCTAAAAAATTATTAATGCAAGGGACAATTTAATGTTTAGTTTCGAGGACTACGACGTACAAAAGTCTCGATTTGAAAGAAGGAAACGGGTTGTACCTTAAGGTAAGCTATGTAGGTAAGTTTCTCAGTTTCTTGAAGAATCACACTTGATTTTGAGTTGGAGTGGATATACGGATTTACAGCACGGGTCGTTTACCGATTAGCCTTTCTTCCCTTTTCGGGGCGGCGCGTAAAGCAAGAAGAGTCAGTCAGCAAAGAAAGTTTACTGCTAGGTAGTATGTATAATATGCGCCGTGTGAATACTGTCTATACAGCTGAATTAATACTGTAACGACCTAAAGACCCAAAGAACCCAGAGCGGGGGAACTGACCGGGGGGAGGTGCCCCTGTTAGTCCGCGCGGTATATATTTCCTTCCCCTATTGAGATGTATTTTTATGACTTAATTGAAAAAAAAAAAAAATGGGAAGTAGCAGGCATACCGCATACCTTAAGTTAGGTACGGTATACATATAGCGTACCTTAGGTACCTAACAACTAATACAGCTAAGGCTTAGCGCCCTGGGCTTGTCATGCGGAATTTCCTCCCTGCTAGCAACAGGATATTTTTCGAACCTAGCGTTTTACAAACATTCTATGGAACTTTCTAACCCTTTTCTTTATCACTTCCATGTATTATGTATTATTCTATTATTTTATATTAGTATTACCATAAACAAGCCACACCAGAACGAGAGATGATACATTCGTTTCTTCTTTGATTCATAGCAGCGGATAGAGTACCTCTTACAAACCATCGTAGCCACCATATCCGAATCTGACCTACCCTACCTACAGGAGAAGTCTCACCAACAAACGATATAGCCAAACAGATCTTAGGTATTCCCTGTCGCGGAGCAGCTAGTCCACTCCGACGGCATATCTAGCTGGTTGTCACTTAGCGCCACTAACAAATGAATGGCGACAGACATGGGGTCCAGTGATCCTCTTGCATATAGCTAACCCAAATCCACAAGTCTTGGAGCAATGTTTACTTGTAAGCCAAAGACGAAAGACGAACTCCTACCTCTAGTCTACCTACACTAGTATTCCTACGTCAATGCTGCGTCCCCGGACAACCAGACAACGATAGTTCGCCTTTATTACCGTTGCTTATGCAGTCATCTTATCCTGGGATATAGAACACACCCTCTCGATATAAGTCCTACTAGTACTATATGTACGTGTCTACGCATTTGTGTACGTGACTAAATACTAAATAGTAATAACAAGACATCGGTCGATGGACCGGTTGAGGGGCGAACCACTCCTTTATCCTCGAGTTTATACAAAAAAGATCTTTTCAATTCTGTCTATTACCCCTCCCGTATCCTATCTATCCAATAGGCATTGCTTTTCTAAGACAAACCTGCATGTAGCAATAACCAATAACCAATACAGCCAGAGAACTATGGGCTACATGAGCCACTTCATAATCCTAACCTTAGGTACGCACAGAAAGAAAGGGAAAAGGTTTACCTGAAGTCCAACACATATTGTCCCTAAACTCGACCTCGAAAACAAAAAAGGGGGGATGGGATGACAAACATCTACATATTTTCCTAGTATCAAGCGATCTCGAGTGATACTATACGACCCGCTCTCCATCTTTCACAACATCGTAACAACCTCACCCCACTACTCATCGTCACATACGTGTGTAGTCCCCATATGTACCTAATGTAGGTTCAAGGTTCTCCAATTCTCCTCGTCAATGCAACGGCTGAAGCCAGACTGCAGGAAGTACATACATACACTTACATATCAGGGGATACCCAGGTAGCCAATCCTAATCAACAATAGGTTTCCCGCTCGCCTCGCACAGCTCTGCTAATCGGTCGCGATAATGAGCTACTTCGTCCCCCGATCAACGAAAGCAATTCATATATTGCAAGCTTTGTACTACCCGATCATAAACGCACTTTTCGTCTCGAGCTAGATTTAGTTCGATTAGCAATGTCTCCCAAGCCGGTAATTTATGCGTGCACGTCCACGGGTATGGCATCCTATACATAATGCTACGCAAACCCGCTTTAGGCGAATGATGTCAAACCTATCACCGTTACCGACTCACCAACAGTTTCTGTATCATCTTAGATTGCCGTATATGAAGTTCCCCCAAGATCTCTCGATGAACCACATCGATGTACATATTCGTGGTGTCATGTTGTCGTAGAGAGAGCATATCACTTCTCCATGGGTTCCCGGTTAAAGGACGAGTATCCCTCAGGTTTTGTATTAGCTTCTAATGATATATAGGTAGTTCTACACGGGATAGTCTGGTATGCTATGTAGTGTAACCAATGACACAGGATAGAGGCAATGGTCTAGGCTCTACGTAGGCCCGCTGGCCGCATCTGCCATGGCTATTGGTCCAGCTACTTATGTCTTACATGAACCGAACACACCCTTGAGATGTACGATAACTCCTTACAGCAAGATGGCACGCAATGGCGTCCAGCACACCCGTGACGCAAGTATAATAACACAGACCGTCCTCCAAACTATTACATAGTCATATGCAAAGGGTAATCGGTGAACGCCGCCAAGACTTGATGTTAAAGGCTTTGCTTTCTCTAACGCAGCTCGAATATTCTAATATTAAAAGCGTGACCTTAAACTACTACCAAATTCACATGTTTCTCTCTACTGAGAGGCCCATTCAGTCTTCAAGGCATCTAGCCATTCCCCTTTCTCAACCCATCTCTGCTCCAACCACTTTGCTAGTTCTTCGTCCGTATAGGGGAGGTCTTCGAGAGGGAATCGCCGTATATGAATGTGGAATTTATATCCTCGAGAACCACTAAGGTCCGGGAGCTTAAGAGTTTCCCACATATTCGGGGCCACATGAAACTTATCTTTGTGCTGATACGCAATAGTAAAGTCATACACTGCCTTGACATGAGGTGCTGCTCTCAACTGCTGCACGGTTGTGACAAACCCCTTAGTACGGGGATATAGTAAATGCAAGGGCTGCGGGCGACTATTCTGTTTGCACCAAACAATAGATTCATTATACTTCTTGGGTGTAAATCGTGTTGCCTCGCTGAAACTTATCAGCCCTGCAGATAGACATGTCAGTTACACAGTTGATGTAGTCTGGAACGCGTATACGTCGAGACGGATGGATAGGGTATACGTCAAGCAAGCACTTACACATCGGCCATCTCCTACGTACGATACCACCGAAGACGCGCTGTAGCTCACGCTGGTCTCGCATCCAATTCCGGGTCACCATCGGCATGCCCATGGCCCAGAGGCCCCAGCCGAGAAAGGGGACCCAGCGCAGCTGGATCTTCGCAAACCATCGGCATTGCCCCAGCATTCCCGATCGCAGGGCCAAGCTTTGGATCAGGTAAAAGTCGGCCCACGTAACATGATTCGAGACGACAACAGCCGACTCCTTCGTGGGCAACCGGTCTCCTGAGATAGTGATCCGAGCACCGTTGCAACTCTCAAAGATAAACTGGATCCACTTCCACACGGAGTATGCAATGCGGCATGACGCGCTGTAGACAAAATCCGGCGCGAATATCTTCACTACCAGTAGTAGAGATAGCACCACATCGCAGACCGCAAGGTAAAGGACCCAGGGAGCCACTAGCACGGCGCCCCTCAGGTTGGCGGGAAGTCCTTTTAACATGGCCGTGGGACCTACATGGGTACTAGAGGAGGAGCGGCGCGGTAGTTGATATATGTAAGCTTGGATGTTAATCCAAAATGGAAGCAATGGTCAATCTTTCATCCAACTTTAGTACATACCAATCCCGAGATTTAAACGATGATCTCGGCAGTTTTCTTTACACGTTGTTTCAAGGATCAGGACCCGCTAAGCGCCAGGTTTCGAACCGGCGATCTTTCAAAGCGATGCTACACTCGGATCAGAGGAACAGAGAGAACATTTATATAAAAACTTTACAATGAGGATATCACGGATCAATGAATATACGTCAAGCGGCCTACAGAGGATGGTGCGAATCAAGTTACGCCAGCGGTCGCACAGTTGGAGGCACAACTTGAGACATTCCGTTCCAAAGGGTTGGGCTAGGATTGGTTGATCAGCTCCTACTTTACGGGAAATGCTATATTTGGGGAAGGCCAAGGTGTAAATCCGTATGAGAAAGACTTAACCACCAATGGTACGGTTGACCAGATAGGCCACTGTGCCAAAATGAAAAAAAATCTGTGAGCTTAGCTTAAAAGGGTAGTTAGCCACAGGTTAGCGCAATTAGCTCGAATTATTACGGTATTTCGCACTTTCGTATGGGAAAAAAGAATCATTTTTTTTTAAATATATACGTTATAACGTTATATGTAATATGTTTTAAAAAAGTATGTTTATTTTTAATTTTTTAATAATTAATTATTAAATTAAAAAATTTAATTATTATATTTATATATTTAAATAATTTTATAATTTTAATTATTATAATATTATAATTAATATTATTTTATAATTTTAATTAAAACGAAAATAATTATTTAAATTATATGTTTATATGATATATTATTGTTAAAATATTTAAAGTTTTTTAAAAATAATTATTTTAAAAAATATTACGTATACGTATAAATTTTTAAAATAATAAATACTTTTAAAATTATTATATATTATTAAATACTTTTTTTATTATATAAATTTATTATTATATATTTGTATTTTTAAAATAGTTTTAACTTTTTATTTTTTTTAAAATGTATGTTTTTTTATTAATTAAATTTTACATTATTTATTTAATAATATCGTTGTTTTTATTTTTATTTTTATTTTTATTTTTATACATTATAATTATTTTTATTATAATTTTATATTTAATTTAATTTAATTTAATTTAATTTAATTTAAATAACGATATAATAATTATTTATTTTTATATATTGTTTTTATTTAATTATATATATTAATTAAAAATTATACGGTTATATATAATTATTTTAAGGTAAAAAAGTTAAAAATAAATTTTTTTTAAATGATTTTTAATATATATATATATATATATATATATAATTAAATGGTTAATTAATTAAAAGGTTATATTATATAAAATTATTTAATTAATATTTTTTAAAATTATTTTTAAAAAATTTTAAATATTTTAATAATAATATATCGTATAAATATATAATTTAAATAATTATTTTCGTTTTAATTAAAATTATAAAATAATATTAATTATAATGTTATAATGGTTAAAATTATAAAATTATTTAAATGTATAAATATAATAATTAAAAATTAAATTAATAATTAAATTAACAATTAAATTTTTTAATTTAATTGGTTAATTTTTTACATTATATTAATTAAGTAAATATTTTTATTATAATAAACCGTAATAAAGTTTAAAAATATATATTTAATATTTTTTAAATTGTGGTAATTGACTTTTTACTTTATTTTAATTTTTAAATTAAATATTTTCGAAACGGGTTACGTTTGTTTGCGCCACGCAACGCGTGGTTTATGTGTTTATACTTATAAGTTATAAGTAAAACATTTAAAAATATTTGGTTTAAAGTTATATAATATTGCAAAGGTTTTTAATGTTTTTATTAATAATAAAAAAATCAAATATTACATTTACAATAATTTAATATATTATAATAACGTACGAAATAATTTTAATTTTAATGATTTAAAGTTTATAATATATTTTTTTTAACTTTTTATTTTTTTTATATATTTGTATAATATTGCGTTTTTATATATTAAGTTTTAACGTTTATAAATTTTTAACGTTTTAATTATTTAATACTTTTAAGCCTTATGTAAGGTATTTAGGTATAACAATTTAATATTTTATAACTACGTATAAAATCCCTTTTTTTTTAACAATTTAAAGCTATTGCCTAAACCTTTTAGCTTTTCCTATATACTAATACGGTCTTATATACCAATACGGTCTTATATACCAGGCTTTGACGTCTGTTGCGGCTAACGCGTTGCGACCGGTGTTGCGACCGTTGTTGCGGCTAACGCGTTGCGACCGTTATAGCCACTTTCAACACCCCGAAAGACTTAAAACGCGTAGATTTAATCGATAAACCTAATAATAAGATTAGTATAATTGTATAATCAATTAAACTTATTATAAAAGCGCGTTAATACTGTTGTTTTGATGATGTTGTTAATGTTATTGTTTTAGAACGTTAAGCGTATAATTCTGGTGTGCGGGATCCCAGAGTTGCCTCAGACCACAGATTCGAGATTGTTTTGGGGGGTTGTTCCGGGGTTTGATTGGTTAAAAAAGAGTGTGGCTAGGGGAGGTACAACCCCACGAACGATCTCGAATTTGTGGTCTGAGTTTACTGAGATAACTTTTACCAACTTTAGTTTAGTGTGCGATTATTTTTTTCATTTTGGCACAGTGGCTTGTTTGGTCAACCGTAAATGGGATTGCTGCCTTGGGTAGCCGACAAGATCGCTATTCAGCATGTATGTATGTAAAGCCTGCGCTTCAACTAGATCTTCACCTTTGACCTCAGATTGGCGGTCAAGATAGAAGTAAGGGTTGTTTATCCTTGACTACCTCTTTAATATCCGGGATTCTATATGAATAATAGAGGTGTCTTTACACCTAGATAGATAGATATTTCCTCTATTTCCTCTACATGTCCCATAAACTTTTCACGATATATACATACCGTACGAATCCATGTCGAGAGAGGTACTGGAGCCACTTTGCTGGGCGGCACTAAGATCTTTCGTTGGGAAGACCCTTACTAATAAATATTCCGATGAGAGCAAATACAATTCTATATTCTAAGCCACCATATGCACGCGATTACGCCAAAACGAATGAGTGGATGATGTCTGCTCTCAGCCACTATGCACTAGCTTAACTGAGGACGACGAACCATCTCGAATCATGATTAATTTGGCAACGCTGACCACCTCATTAGCGAACCCCAGAAAGGCACGGACACGACGGACACGACGGCCACGAAGGATACGGAATAATTAAGTCCCATATTCAATCTCACGATACATAGTGAGCATACTACGTACTTGGAGAAGGGCTACGTAATCTACCATATTATCATAGGCTACATGCAATATGTACGAGGTATCAAAGGGGAATAATACATAAACCCAAGGCTAAAAGAATCAAGCTTCTTAATAAGGCTTTAGAAACCCACAACTCGCACGGCACTTGGCCAACACTAGCGAGGTAGGCTGTGCATCATCGTGGATTATGTATCGTCATATCAGATCACAACGATATTAGTTACTACATGGATATAAGCAGTCTTACAGAGGGCACAATAGTGAGGGGGTATTTCAATTTTCCAGGGAAGGCATCCGCTATTAGAATCGTTTCTACTGCAACATCCTCTTATTATTCATCGCATAACCTATCTCTTACGTCTATAAGGTTGTTAAGGAGAGACATCGGCCTCTAGAACGGCCACCTATCTTACCGTGGGGTTCCGCCCCTCTAGAATGATTAAACAACACTTCTTCAACGTATCATCTCAGATATTCTATTTAGTATTCTATTTATTAGTTTTGTACCAAATTGTAAGACCAAATTGTCCTACCACGCGGCGCAAATTAGATCGCACAGCGTCTCTGCATAGTACCGGACTGGCGGAGCCGTTCACTACTACTACTAGTAGTAAAAGCCCATCTTTAACCTGATACTAATAAGATCCCTTCTCACGACGATTCAAGGCTGAATCGGAAGGTGTGGTAGGTCATTCATATACTATGTAGCATTCTCACCCCGCTCTACGAAGCACATAAACGAAGCATCTCTCATCAATTCGGACCCTATTCCCTTATTCGATACCCCCCATCATGTCCCAATCTTGGATCGCGCATTCTATCGCCCAAGTCGTTCTGATGAGCTATGGCCAAAATCACTGACCCGCAACCCGTAGTTGGCTATCCGTCTCCTCCAACGCATTATTCCCCATCCGATCATAAACCCTCCTTGGGCTCGCTTTACGAACACGTTTCGATGTCGTCTTCTGCGTCGCCCAACGACGACTCTCAGCCTGACAAGGGTCCCCTTGGCTCGCTGAACCTCAACTTTCTAAAGTCGTTGAACGACAAGAAGACCACCCGCGATGGTAATCCTCCAAAGCGGCGAGGACCTAAACCCGATAGTAAGCCGGCGTTAACACGCCGGCAAGAACTGAATCGCCAAGCACAGAGGTATATCATGGACTTGTACCTGTGAGTTCGGCAGGTAACAATCCCTGCTAACTATCTATCGGCAGGACACATCGGGAACGCAAAGAGCTATACATAAAGGCACTCGAAGACGAGGTACTGCGGCTTAAAGAGATCTATACCAACGTCTCGCAAGACAAAGACAAGCTCGCCGAGGAAAACCGGCAGCTCAAAATCCTGCTGCAGCAGAACGGCATCTCGCACAGCCCGGGAGGCGGTGTAGACGACGTCGGCAGCAGTCTGAGCCCCGGGTACACGTCTAACGGGAGCATCTCGGGCGGCTACGGGGCGGGAAGCTCCAACACCGCGTACACGCCGGGCATGACGTCGATATCGAGTCCGAACTCCATGACGGCGCCGTCGTCGCAGGGGCTAGGCGGGCAGCAGCAGCAGAAGCAGAAGCAGGGCCACCACGTAGATTACGAACAGGCTGGGATAGATTTCGTCTTAACGTACGATAACCCCGATGACCCCTCGAAGGCGTACATATCACCTCCCCCGCAGTAGTAGACTGTAGTAATGGGTCGTCACCGCACACACACACACACACACATATATATATCTACCTACTTATTTCACACGCAAGAGAGAGAAAAAAGAAAAGAAAAATGTAAATGTTTTCGGTCCGTGTGGTACAGCGAAGCTAATCAAATCCGTGGCTGACGGGCGCACAGGCTCGAGCGACCGTGTATGGACCACATGCCGTGGCTGATCGAGCGAGCGCAAGACACGAGCGGCGACGCGGCGGGCCACGCGCTCATGGCGTCGTGTCCGCCGGAGCCGTTCCCCGAGCTAAGCGACGAGATCCCGTTCGGGTACTCGCACACGCACGGCGACCGGGGCGAGGCGCCGTCTCGCCAGCGCACGTGGGAGCTGTCCAAAGGCGATCTGTCGACTCTCCTCGATCTCAGCACCAAGTTGAACTTGGACGGCGAGATCACGCCCGTCATGGCTTGGGGCATGGTTCTGTCTCATCCGAAGCTGAGGGAGCTGAAGAGCGAGGATTTGGAACGGTTGGTTGATGATCTTAAGGGCAAAGTCCGTTGTTATGGGTATGTGTTGCCTACCTATCTACCTACTTAACCTATGTGTTCCGCTTACCAGATCCGATCCGATCCGATGCTAACTAATTCCCCCCGCAGGTTCGGAGCTGTGCTGGAGGAGTTCGAGGTGCGAGATGCGCTTAATGCCGTCTTCTCCGCAAAGTCGGAGGTGGGCGTGGCTTATTAGGGGACGGGCCGTTTAAGTTTTTAAGGTTTGAGTTTTTTGGTTTCTTTTTAAACGACATTATAGGTAGTTTGTTTTATGCATAGGTACCTACATATATAAAGCAATGATAATGACGATGGTGGTTGTTATTACGGGCGAGTAGAGCTATGAGAGATGACGGGCAGAACGCATTCTATGTACTTGGGTACTTATAAGTTATATACTAGAGGTATAATAGTGTTGAAATACTATTCTATCAATGTTTTAAGGAATTGATGATTTATATGTAGAGAGACTATATATGGGGTGCTTTGTTCAATTTAAGAGTCTTCTTCTTCTATACATATGATATATGAAAAGCTATATAATATTTGAGTTGTTTAATTCTCTTGCCTGTCTACTTCTTTTCAGCTTAAACTCTTAGTTGATACTACCTATTAATATGCCACTTAGACTTACAAGGAAATTGCATATTATAATTATTAAACTGCCCCTAGGAGCTTCCGTGAAGACTTCAGGTACAGTGCTAATAATAGAGTCGTGATGTCCCTTTAACTGTTCTTGTCTTGGAAGGTATAGGTTAGGTACGTACTGCACTAACCAAGATCCAATGCTGTGCAACTGCCCCACACCCCACCAAAACTCTTTGATTCACTGCTAAAATATTCGCCTGCAGCCAAAATTTCGACAAGCCACGCCCTGGCAAAAAAAACAACAACATCGAGGTCGCCTTCAATAGAGTAATATTACTTCCAGGTTAAGGCAAACCGCAGATATAATATTACTGAGATCATCCAATATGGCATCCGAAAAATCCTTAGCCGACCTCATTGCGGCCTTGCCCGACGGTGATGGATGGGGTCCCCCTCCGGTAACCGAGACCACCCTCAATGGTGTCCCGTATGCTCCTTTCTCGAAAGGTGACAAGCTAGGTCGCATGGCGGACTGGACAGCGGATAGCAAGGACGGAAGAGACGGACGCGGTGGTCGACAGCAGTACAACCGAAACTTCAGGGGTATGTAAAGCCAGATTACCTCCATCTTGACAGTCATCAGTTTCCAGTGCTAATGTTTAATCCGATACAGACCAGCAGATATACGGTGCCGGTAGCGCTGCTTTATTCACCGCACCTGTCGCCGAGGATGAAAACACATTCTCCGTCGTCAGTAGAGAACCCACGAAGACTAGATACGGTCGGGGCGCAGTCTTTACACGCGGTCGCGGACAACGAGGTGCCCGACAGGACACTAGGGGTGGTCGCGTACAGCTTCAGCGCCCTGGGCGTGGTGGTCAGCAAGGCTACGGAGGATACGACAGCCGCGGTGGTCGTTCTAATGCGCCTCGCGGTCGCCGCTTCGGATGGAAAGACTACGACAAGCCGACTCGTAACCGCGACGCTTCTATCAACATCAAAGCAGACTGGCAGCTACTGGAAGAGATTGACTTCAACAGACTTGCCAAGCTAAACCTGGACGCCGACGAAGGAGAAGACATAGATAGCTACGGTTTCGTTTATTACTATGACCGATCCTACGACAAGCAATCCGTCAAGGCTGCCGAGAAGAGGCTGGTGCCTTTGGATCGTGCTGCCTACAATGTTACGACCTCGTCGGACCCCGTCATTCAGGAGCTAGCCGACAAGGACGAAGCCACTATCTTTGCTACCGATAGCATCTTATCTATGCTCATGTGTTCTACCCGTTCGGTCTACCCATGGGATATTGTAATTGTAAAACAAGGAAACAAGATCTTCCTCGACAAGCGCGATAATGCCGCGCTAGACATGGTGACGGTGAACGAGAACGCTGCCGATGCCCCCATGGAAGCTTCCGACGGTAACAAGGACGGGATCAACCTGCCTGCTGCCCTGGCAGAGGAGGCTACCTATATCAACCACAACTTCGCCAACCAGGTCGTCCAGGAGAACGAGTCCTCGAAGGTCGAGATGGCGCACGAAAATCCCTTCTACAATGCTTCCGAAGAGACCGAGCCTCCGGCGAGCAAGGCTTACAAGTACCGTAGATTCGACCTCTCGACTAGCGAGGAGGATCCGATGTATCTGATCGTCCGGGCCGAGCTAGATGCCGTTCAAAAGAATGGCATTAGCGGCGAGGATCAGTTCTTGACTGTCAAGGCCCTCAACGAGTTTGACAGCAAGGCCCAAGGCAGCGGTGGTGCTCTAGACTGGAGAACCAAGCTAGTTAGCCAACGCGGTGCCGTTGTCGCAACGGAGATGAAGAACAACAGTGTTAAGCTCGCACGATGGACAGTTCAAAGTATATTATCCAAGGCGGACGTCATGAAGCTTGGGTTAGTTCCGCTATATTTAAATATTATGGGTATAACTTGCTAACATCTTATATAGTTTTGTTTCTCGTGCCAATCCGAAGTCGAACGATAAGCACGTAATCCTTGGAGTTATTGGCTGGAAGCCCAAGGACTTCGCTAACCAGATGAACTTGTCGCTCTCCAACGGTTGGGGTATCGTCCGCACCATCGCTGACATGTGTCTTCAGCGTGAGGATGGCAAGTTTGTGCTTGTCAAGGACCCTAACAAGTCGATTCTTCGACTGTACGAGGTTCCTGCCGGCAGCTTCGACGAGGAAGGCGAAGAGGAGACTGTTCCGGAGACTGTCCCCGAGGAAGAGTAAGGGTTGGAACGGCTTGAACGCGGGACATACCTGCGTGTCTGGTCTAGTAGTATATGACTACCTAACCTACCTAGTCAACTAAGTAGTCACTCGGGTTAATTCAAAAGTTAATCAGCTTCGAGGAAAACGTTGTTATTAAGAAACTACATTGGCTCTACATCTGTTGGTGCTATACTATTACTTCATTGTGACAATTTAACTGCATGATATATATGACTTTGTAGGCTTTTCTCGAAGGTGAGTTATTCTATCTCGACAGAAACATAAAAATAGGGGAATGGGGATTAAGCTGAGGGATCTACCCCACCTTCTCTACCCCCACCACCGAATTGCCCCGCCATCTTTTCTTCCTGTGACGTCTGTCCCGTCACTTTCATGCAAACCTACCACAAGACATCCAGGGTCCTTTCGAGCTTGCAAATAAACTACACATATATACACACCACACGTCCCGTTCTTCACCTAGGTATACGACCATGGCGCCCAAGACGATAATAGCGCCTTCGATCCTGTCGGCCGACTTCGCCCAGCTGGGCGCCGACTGCGCGAGGACTATGGACCAGGGCGCCGACTGGCTTCATATCGATATCATGTACGTATCCTGGGAGCATGCGGCGTCGCCGTACTAGTGTCTACCTATTTATAGAACCGAGTCGAACGGTGCAATGTGTAAAATAGGTTGGGATAGCTGACCGTGAGGTGTTTTGCTCGCGTATGTAGGGACGGCCACTTCGTACCGAATATCACGTTTGGCGCGCCGGTCGTGGCTAAGATCCGGAAACACGTCGATAAGCCTACCGAGAACCACGGGCGCGGGACGTTCGACTGCCATATGATGATTGCCGAGGTATCCCCTTACCCCTTACTTACTTAAATACCTAGCCACCCCATCCATACCGGAGCAGTAGAACAGGGGCTAACCATCGATATATAAAAAAAACAGCCCAAGAAATGGGTCAAGGAGTTCCAAAAAGCAGGTTGCGACCTATATTGCTTCCACTACGAAGCCGCCTTCTCGAGCGCCGCCGAGAGCCCTTCGGCTAAGACGGACGAGAAGACGAATCCGAAGGACCTGCTGCGGTATATACACGACTGCGGCTTGTTGGCTGGTATTGCGCTGAAGCCCGCTACGGGCGTCGAGGTTTTGACTGAACTGCTTGAGAGCCCGGATCCGAAGGAGCGGCCTGATGTGCGTTGTCTTTATACTATTCACCCCTGCTCTCCCTAACAAATACACTGCCTTATTTCATTTTATTTGTATTACTTTTTGGGGGCGAGGGGATTGTTGTATCACGCAACTATAACTAACCCCAAACAACACAGATGGTCCTCATCATGACGGTCGAGCCCGGGTTCGGCGGCCAGAAGTTCATGGCGTCGGAACTGCCCAAGGTGCAGGCGCTGCGCAACAAGTACCCGGACCTGAACATCGAGGTCGACGGCGGCCTGGGCCCCGGTACCATCGGCCAGGCGGCGGACGCGGGCGCCAATGTTATCGTTGCGGGGAGCGCTGTGTTTGGGGCTCAGGACCCCGCGGAGGTTATCTCGTTGTTGAGGGCGGCGGTTGATTCGAGGTCTGGGAAGCTGTGAGATGGGGATATGGTGGAGAGATAGATGGATGGATGGATGGATGGAATGGACATGGCGTGTACGTGTACTTAACGGCTTGATAGTTGGGTGTGGGATGTTGGATAGGGAGCAGTAGGTATATACTCCCAGAGATGAATATAAGTACCGACCCAATTACTCCAAGTCTGCTTTGAGTATTACGCATCCATCCGTTTGAAATTAAAGTATTGGTCTGTCTTGAAGTATTCTTCTTAAAAAGGGGCTAGGATATGGCTACCCGCATGAGCCGGACATTACCTAGAATATGTATGTGGTCAAAGGTAACCTATATTCCAAACCCGAGATAACCAACACATCTACCACAAAGAGGACATATCTAACTAATCCTAGGTAACCTCATGCAACCCGCCAAGTCAAGCCGTTTTCGACACGACCCCGTCCAGCGCCTCAATAAACCCCTTTATCTCCTCCACTGCACACACAATGCCATTCATTAGCCGTGCTCAACTTTAGGATATAAATAGGTAGGTAGGTAGATAAACAGATCCATTCCACTTACGCGTGTTATAATGCGCCATGCTAACCCTAACCACACCACTCGGTCCCAGGCCCAAGAAATCATACACCAGCGCGTTCGAATAAAAGGCGCCCCAGCGGAAGCCGTAATTCGTGCTGCGCTCGAGCGTCTCGACCAAGTCCCGCGAGTCCCAGCCCGCGACGACGAAACTCACGGTGGGCAGGCGGATGGCCCCGTCTGCGCTGGGCTCGCCGTATATGGTGATTTTTCCCGGCTTGGAGGTCAGGTAGGCTAGTAGTGCTGATTGGAGTTGTGATTCGTGCTGTGCGATGCTGGGCCATAGGCTGCTGGGGGAGGAGGAAGGGGAGGAGGAGGGGGGGTGTCCGATGTAGTCGACGATGGGGGGGATGGATTGGACTAGTTCGTAGGACCCGCTTCCTGGATAGATATTAGTCGGTATTATGAAATAGGTAAGTAAAAATAGGAGTCTTTATACTATATTATATTCGATACTCGGCTCTTACTTGAATACGGTTGCTGCTCATGCCGGGAAGAAAGGGGTAAATAGAGAAAAGGGGGTTTCTCAACAAGTTTACTACCTGTACTCTTCTTATACGTACCAAGACTAATCTTATTCTCAAGCGTAGCACGCGGATTGAAAAAGTGCCCCAGCGTACGCATCTGCTCCTGCGCGCGACGACTCCCATACAGCATCGCGACATGCGGCCCGTACACCTTATACCAAGACAGGACGTAAAAGTCCACCCCGAGGGCCTTCACATCGACCGGCCGGTGCGGCGCATACGCCACGCCGTCGACGCACAGGAGCGCCTCGGGGACGGCAGTATGCACGACGTGCGCTATGGCTTTGATATCGTGGACCGAGCCCAGGACGTTGCTCGCGTGCGTGCATGTCACGAGGCGCGTCTTGGGGGATAGTAAGGTCGTTAGGTCCGCTGGCGAGAGCCGCGGGTTGGTAGATTTGGCTTGGGGCGTCCACCATTTTAGCGCTAGGTTTAGGCGGCTGGCGAGGTCTTTCCAGGGCGCGATGTTGGCTTCGTGGTCGATTGAGGAGATGATGATTTCGTCGCCGGGCTGGAAGGGGAATGTGTATGATAGGTTGCGGAGGAGCTGCGTGGCTGAGGGGCCGAAGGCTGGGGGGGGTTAGTGGGTGAGTGAACGCTTATGCTATTATACTGTACGAGGTGTGAGGGATGAAGGATGAGGTATAAGTGGTAAGTGAGTAAAGCAAACCTACCAATCTCGTCCTTCTCCGCATTCAGGAACTTAGCCCCGGCGGTTACGCCGCCGTCGTAGCGAGAGCTTGATGCCTTGCTGGCTTTATAGCCGCCCCCAAATTGGACGTTGCTCTTGATGAGGTAGTCGCTTATACTAGTAGTTTTTGTTAGTTAGAAGCAGAGTTCTCGTTTATAGAATTTTGGACGTTCTTTTTCTTACTCACGCTTCGATGACGGCGCCTAGCGTCTGGCTTCCGCCCGCATTGTCGAGGAAGACCTGATCTTCCTTTAGGGCTGGGAATTTGGCTCTATCGGCTTCGATGTCGAAGGTGGCCATTTTATGGGGTTGTCTTTATTATATTTGCCTTGGAAACTTGGTGGTTTACTGGTTTCTAATTTTCAGATAATTTAAGTCTTCGTAATCTAGGTGCTCTCCTATTCCGAAATCCGGCCTATGTGTATTATGAAGATGATCTAGAAAGTGTTGCTTGGAATAGCTATATGAGGTAGCTATGTACATACATGTAATTCCTTGAACGGATGTGACTCAACTTGCGAGTCCCCCTTGTGCCTAACCCAATGATCTGGAACCTAAGCGCTATAAAGTTTAGCCCGACTAATGATGTTGAATGCGGGGTGTACTATAAATGCTTATTTCTATACTATAACCAATATCTAGCATCAATACTTGCTAAATCAGAAATATGTCATCTGACTATAAATACCTATACCTATTCGTATAGCCTATATATCACTTCCAAAAGCTACCTTGAAAACTAGCTGTATGCCAGCCCCTCTAAGCTTTCTTAAAGTGCTCGAGTCTATATAGCTCCTATATTTCCCCCACGCAAGCTAGTGGGCTCTTCTCCGCATATGGGAGTAGAACGACTAGTCGATTCATGAATCTTAAACGCCTACTTGAGAGTTCACCGAATCGCTTGTGTGGATTTGGCTACTTCGTTTACCTTAATATGCTACCCCTTGCCTGTTATTAATATCATCAGACGATATAATGAGTTGACACGATATGTGACGCATGTTAATCCTATATGTCCTGTCGGCGCTTCGTGGGCTTACACCAATGCTGTGTATACTATATATCTCGAGTTGTGAGTGGATGCTATAGATACAACATAGGCGCCTACTGGCGGTAAAAATAGTGGCACAGTTATGCAAGTCATGTAATGGGAAGCAATGAATCTACTCGGGCATTGTATTCTATATCCCTATCTTTTTTATAGATAGTAAGTAAGGAGCATTGCATCAGTTAAGCGAACATCGTTCTATTATACCAGGAATAACGAAAGACTTTAAGAATATAACAATATTAATTAAAATAAGACGACTTTTCTTGTTAATGTTTTTCTCTAGTCTTTTTGGCTAGGATATAAGGGGCTAAATATTTCCAGCAGGTTTGATCCTCGTTGTAAATGGTAACCTAGGGGGACTCGAGTCCTCTAACGGTTCGATTCCACTATTCGCTCGGAGAATGTTGCTTTATGCTGTCGTCATTTAGGAATGGAAATAGTATGTTTTGTCAACTTAATGGCTACCTGACTGACTGAGCAATGCTTAGGGCATATCTGATATATGATAGAATATCAGTTGAGGTCGTATAGGTAAAGGTATCATAGATTCATAGTCATCCTAATAGGCGACCAAATTGTCATTTATGAGAGGACTAGTTACTATTTTAAGACGCCCACTTATGTCTTAGGGTCGAGGTATCTTCTGGATGGATTGGCCTATGTGTCGATATCTCCCTGTGAATTGGATTAACTCGCAGTGAAAGGGAATGAAGATGCTACTATGCCCATTGGGTATCTATGAGGTGCTCCAAAAGGCATTGGTGGAACCATTCTACGATATCGGTGCAGTCTCAAACCAGTATTAATCATGATCAGATCCCCGGATTTGGTATTGATAATAGTAGAACTCGACCATTATAGAAGGGTCTCTTAATAGGATATACTAGCAATGGTCATAGATCTATTAGGAGACTATCACTTAGGGACTGCTAATCAATAGCTACCCAGGGAGTACAAGGAAGGTAATAATAATACATTATTCGGGCTCGAGGAGCTTTCTGAGCCACACACTTATAAGAACACCAAGATAGGGGTTCTGCTACGGGTGAGTCCAGTTGAAATTTCAGGACATTAGAGCGAGCCGATGGCCACTGTATTATAATACAACGGGTTTATCTTTAATCTAGGTGTTTTCTCGAGCGAAGCCCTTTAGAGAATATTGGCTAGTGATAGGATAGAACTGTGACGAATCTAGGCCGCCAACACGTTGACTCTATTCTAACGGACATACTCAATATTAAGCTTATATATAGATAAGGAGAGCCAAGTATAACGATCAGCATAGGAAAACAGAAACAGACGAACAGAATTAATAAATCATTGTATTAATGATAGAGAAATAGCGATATCGGTAAACGAACCGGCTACGGGTTACCCGTACTTCACAAAAGAGTGTCTCTACCATATCAGACCGGCCCTAAGACTACAATTCTAATTTATTGGTCAATATATATGGAATATTCGTAGACGGTGGTTGAATGCGACTGAACATCACTAAGAGTTGCAGTAGAACTGCCGCCCTCGGACGCCTCCTGGCGTGATCCCGTCCCACACGAATAAGCGTTTCCGCAGGAGCCCGTATTGATATAGCACCAACTTGTAAGTCCGATTAAAGGATTGCCGGACATGACGACTTAACCGCCAATAGGGTCCTACTACGGCGGCTTTGAGAGGAGGGAGGGTGTAGAGTACGCATAGTGCATGATCTATATATACATGGCCTGGTTGCATCTGCTCACAATCATGCAGCCAGACCAGTTATTTTTACTTGGGATTATTTGAACCATTGGAGGTGAATGGAGAGAAATATTGAAGTAGTGCAGCAGCTATAGCGGTAAGAAAATAGAAAATAGGGGAGGGAATGGAGTAAGAGGAAGTAAGAGGAGGGGCATTGGATAGTGGCATGAGTGGATCGGGATCACTTGTCAGTCGATAAGCAACCTTAAACAACCTTATAGCTCCATGGTGGGTCGGGCGGTGAATATCGCGCTAACTTCGATAGATAGAACTAAGAAAGAACGGGTCGTCGTTTGCTCCAGTTTCTTTTTTTCTGCCACTACTTTTTCCCCATTGAAAAAAGTAAGAGAGACTGATTATCAGTCGATCAGAAAGAAATCGCGAGTTTTATTCATTTTGTTCATGTTCAAGATAGCTTTTCCCAAGCTTCTTCACATTCCCCAAACTCGCAATTGACTATATTTAATTAGTATAAATCTAATTGTCAATTCATAATGAAGCGCAAAGCCCAATCGCAAGCTGTAGGCCATAAACCTGCCAAAAAGAAGTCTAAGAAGACTTGTAAGTCGCCCAATCTAGCAGATCACTTATCGTACGATCCTGCTGGAAATTCCCAAAATTTTCTCAACGAAAAAGACTAACTGTCACTACAGCACTGAGCGACGAGGAAGCTAAGAAGAGATTCAGGAAAGGTCTCTTTGACAAAGATATCCTGGACAAATACACCCAAGGATATGCCAAATCCACACCCTACAAGCATAGCGTCATCCACGAGCTGATCGACGATACCTTACTACGATCCGTCCGCGAGGAGATCAAGGACAATGTCTCCTTCACCCCCAAAGAAACTGATATCTATAAGATCCACCAATCCGGCGACCTTGCGAACCTCGACGGCTTAGACGATGAGGCTCTAGCTAGGCTTCCCTCCTTGCTTGCTCTTAGGGACGCAGTATACTCGCAGGCATTTCGAGACTATGTCGCGCATATTACTGGATGCGGCCCCCTGAGTGGTAGAAAGACAGACATGGCTATTAATGTGTATACCCCGGGATGCTATCTTCTATGCCACGACGACGTTATTGGTAGTCGCAAAGTCAGCTATATCCTCTACCTAACCGATCCCGACATTCCCTGGAAAGCCGAATGGGGCGGCGCGCTAAGACTCTTTCCCGTGCGAACGATCAAGGGCAAGGATGGCCAAGTAGCGAGGACACCTGCGCCGGACGTCAGCAAGGTTATCCCCCCCGCGTGGAACCAGTTGAGTTTCTTTGCCGTTCAACCTGGCGAGAGCTTCCATGATGTCGAAGAGGTCTACCATGCTGAGAGCAAAGAACAACTCCAGAAGGAGGGAGGAAGGGTCCGTATGGCTATCAGTGGCTGGTTCCATATCCCTCAGGTCGGAGAGGCCGGATACGTCGAAGGCGCCGAGGAGAAGCAGGCCAAGAACAGCGGTTTGATGCAACTGCAAGGCAACCCAGATCAGTATGACATGCCTCAGCTGAAACCAGTTCCGGTCGAGCAACCGCAGTCGGGCTCTCAAGAAGAATTTGACGAGGCCGACCTAGAGTTCTTGCTCAAGTATATGGCCCCGACCTACCTCACTCCTGATACCCTTGAGCAAATCTCAGAAGAATTCGAGGAAGAGGCTAGCATCACTCTACCTAACCTTCTTGGGAAGAAGTTTGCAAAGAAACTACGAGACTACGTCGCCGCTCAAGATAGTGCACCTCTACCGGAAGACGCTACGGAGATTGAGAAGGGTGCCTGGCGGGTAGCAAAGCCACCCCATAAGCACCGGTACCTATACCTTCAACCAGACAACGCCGCCGCCTCCAAAAAGAATGGAAAGTCGAAAAAGGAGGACTCGCCTATAAGAGAGCTCCTAGAGGAATTCCTCCCGAGCCCGCAGTTCCGCCGCTGGTTACAGATGGCGACAGACTCCGTGATCGAGAGCCATGACTTCGTCGCTAGGCGCTTTAGACGCGGTAAAGACTACACGCTCGCCACAGGGCACGAAGGCAAGCCGCGCCTCGAATTATCCCTAGGCATCACGCCGACAAGCGGCTGGGGCGACGAAGACGAGGAAGAGGAAGAGGAAGCCGCCGCCGAAGAAGAAAGCGCCGAGGATACCAAAGCCAACGGTAAGGGGAAGGGCAAGGCTAAACCCAAAGCTGAGACCTCGAAGAAGAACAAGAATAGCAAGAAGGAGCCCGAGGAGGAGGAGGAGGAGGAAGAGGAAGAGGTGGAAGTCGGCGGCCATGAGGTATACATGGCAGGCGACGACGATGCAGCAAACGAGGACGCGGCCGTGTACAAGTCCAGCGGCGAGGATGATAATATCCTGTTCTTCCAGGCTGCGGCCTGGAACAAGATGTCCCTGGTCTTGCGCGATAGCGGCACTCTCAAGTTCGTCAAGTACGTTAGTCATAAAGCGCCTGGTGACAGGTGGGATATTACCGGTTCGTTTGAGGTCGAGGAGGGGGATGACAATGACGATGACGATGATAATGAGGGGGATGGGGATGGGGAGGCTGGTAAGGCGGAGGGAACGGGTGTGCTGGATGATACGGAGGAGGAGTGGAATGGCTTCTCTTCGTCGGAGGATAGCGATTCGGATTAAGTTGCCTTGCCTTAGGTACTTATATATAATAAGGTAACAGCTGACTATTTGGCCTATCTATATAGCAGCTTGAGGCTGGGTTTAGGAGGCGTGCTATGGATTTACATAGATTCGTAGATACCAGAAATGATAATGATGATTGATTAATGATATGTAATTCATTTGTTCGCAAATCTAAACCTAGGTAGGTTTAGGTAGATTCTGCACTTTCTAAGTGATATGATGCCTATACCTGTGCCTATGCCTATGCTATGGGTCAAGCGGTATAACGCTGTCTGGCGGGTAACCAAACCAAAACCGATGCTGCCTTTAAATGGTTGAGTTGGATCCCTTCCCCATGGCCGCCGCTCCAATATATACCTGGCCTGACCTGGACCCATGAACATGCCCAACCAAGATGCACCAATTCCATGCCATGCTATGCATCGATATACCCATATACTAGTCATCATCATATGTTCCTCCCGCGTCGCTCGCTCCCAAAGACCCAAATCACATAATAAAAGCCAACTTAGCTAGCTAGCAAATGCCCTCCCCCAAAGCGCCTTCCATGCCAACCAAAACGCCCTAAGCTCCCTAACCTAAATGATAACAGCCATGTAAAATCATCATGCCTAAACCCAGACCCAAAAACAATCAAAACCGTTCTTCGCCGGTTTATTCCAGATCCCTCAGCTCGTCTGTACTCCTCGTGCTAACAAACGCATGTCTAAGGAAGTGCAGCCACACTTTAGTATCCTTCCTCTTCTTGTGGCCCTTATGGTGCTTCTTCTTGCCCTTGCCCTTCTTTTTCTTCTCGATTTCAACGTCAGTATCTGATCCTTCCTCCTCCCCCCCCTCCTCCTCTTCCCTACCAGACTCATCACCGTCTTCATCAACTTCATATTCATTGTCATCATAATCGCACTCAGACTCCTCGCCGACAAGCCCCTCGGAATTAGCCGAAGTCTGACCAATCCTATGCGCGAGCTTCAACAAGCTCCTAACCGTCAAGTCCTTCAGCTTGTAGATCTTGTCGTCGAAGGTGGTGTATTCGACCGCGTAGGCAAACTCCCTTGGTTTCGGCTTAGCGTGCTTAGGCTTCTTGTCCCAGTGCTTACCCGCGTTCCAGCTCGAAGACGACACCTCCTCGTCGTCGTCCGCAGTGATGTCATTGTTGATATACGTCAGGTTCGCGTAGTATTGGGTGAAGCCTTTGAGTGTCAAAGCCTGGGGGGAGTATGCGGGACCCGGAGGCGTTCCCTTGGCTGGTGCGTCTGGGATTGGGACTGTGGGGTCCTTGGGTTTCTTGCCACCCTTCCCTTTGCCTTTCTTTTTCTTCTTCTCGATCTCTAGATTGGGTTCGTCACGGAGCTCTAGTTCATGCCATTCCTCCGATTCGGGAGAAAAGGCTTGAGAACCAGAGGCGCGCAGCGTGTCTACCCATGTTAGGGTATCCTCAAGACCAGTTATATTGTATTCGAAAACACGGAGACTTGGGAAGTAGTTCGGGACAACGCTAGGGCTGATGAGAGTCAACTGGTATCGCTCCGCGAAAGGCCCGCCCATCTTGCTCTTCCCGCCCTTGCCTTTCTTGCCCTTCTTCTTTTTCTTCCCAGATTCTTCAAGGTCCCGGCCTTGAACCGGGTCTGGTAATTTAGACCAGTCGTCACGCAGTGCTATGAGGTAATCTTTACTCGATTCTATCGAAACCTCATCTTCCATGGTCTCGCGAATACTTGCTCGTTGATTAGGCTCGCTTTCGATAAAGGAAAGGTCGATATCCTTGGTATCTTGAAGTAGAAAATGATCTATGTTCATGTGTCCATATAGAGAGCCGGTAACGACGTCCCGATACTGCTGCAACCAGAGGGTGTATTTCTGCCAGCAGGTTTCGTCCCATAGTTGCTTGCCAGAAGTCCTAGCAGGAGGAACATGGCCTATGAGAATAGCTTTCATCCCGCGCTCTCGCATGAACTGCAGTTGGATTCGCAGCCACTCGAAGTGCTTGTATCCGGGTTCGCTTGGGTGTGCACAGTCGTCAACCCCCGCATTGCGATCGAAGAAGTACAGGGTATTAAGACTAAAGACGGCCAGCTTGTCCGGGATGACTTCAACATAAAACCAGCCGCCGTACTCAAATGAGTGTCGCTGCTCTTCTGGGATGAAATTCTGCCAGACATCGGTATAAGTCTTCAAAATCTGGTTCGGACCTGGTAATAATATATTGTGAGGGTATATGTCATTGTTGCCGAAAGTTGGGACGACTGGAACTACTAGCCCCTTATCGTCGGAAAATGTAGTCACAAATGCGTCCGTAATTCTTTGGTTCATAGCTAGGATTTCTTTGTTATGGCGGGGTATTTTCTCATCGCTGTCATGGCGGGCTGAGTCGCCAGTCCAAACCACGAAATCAATCTCGTCCTTTAGGTTGGCGGCAACCCAATTGAGTGTCGCGTTAACCAAGGCCAGCGGGGAATCGCAGTCAGAAGTTTCTGCGCCATAGGTGCCGGCTGGGCCTTGGCCTCGGTGACATGCGATATTCTCCTCGGTGGATGTGTGGACTTTGTAGTATTCATCTGGATGTAGATCTGCGCAAGGTACGAGGCATTAGTGTCTTAACAAGACGATTTGGAGATGGTGTGTGGTAGGCATCTTATGAAGAGTGTACCTGTAATATGTAGAAATCTGCCGTGCAACTTGCGCTGCGACGTAGACTGGCTACTGTCATGGTTTGCCTGCAGCACGTATTGAGCTCCGGTAGTTGGAGCACCTATGACGAAAGTCTCCAACAGGCTGGGAATTACCCAAAGCCAGGTTGCTTTCTTCAGCACCATCCTGGACAGTTTACGATGCTCTAGGAGCTATGAAAAAAATGGATGAGAAGACGATATCGCATAGATAGGTGACGGCTATCAGCTTATAAGTTGGTAAATTGAAAAAGGATATCTAATGTTGCCGTGTTGAATATTTTAAAAATTCCGTCATTAGTCGCCGTAGTTTCTCGAAGCGTACCAAATGATCGTCGACGGATGCAAAATGGGGCTAGCTGGCCGTCTAGGGGATCCAATAAAACTGGCAGCAAATGCCAGAAGGTGCTTCTAGCCAAAGACTCGGTGCCAAGTGGGGAAATAGGCGATAGTAAAGTAGTTTAAATACTACGCTTTGGCTCTTAAGTGAGGCTTTTGAACACCATCACATTATTCATTGAATTTCCCAAAGTCCTTCGCCCCAGGACTGTAGGACAAACAGAAGCAGCTCATGGGGTTCTTAAATTAGTTATTAGGGTTTGGTAGTTCCCCATCCCCAAGGCTGAAGGCTGACAATAGGCGACGAATCATAACGCCGGATTCCGCACGTGTAGGAAGTTAACCGTGGAGAGACGAGCTTGAATAACTGAGACATCGTATAACACACATCCAGGGCGCCACAATATGGCCATTATATGGGCACACGACAATGGTCAGTTCCGCACTTGCCTAATTGGCATCCACTTAGTTGCTCGAAAGCCCAGTATTCCAGAGTTTGCTAAGGATCACTTGCGCTGGGGTCGAGCTGCAGAGACCATCACGGATCATCAGGTGGAGGTGTCAAAGGGGTCCGGCGGTGATGAAAGAGAAAGACTGCTCGGCCACTCTGCCGCTCTATTGTTCTCATGTTGCCAGCACGCAACCAAGTGCCAAGTCCAGATAGCCATCAGGGTTGTCTGGGTGTCTGGGTGTTTGGAAGTCGACGGCGCAGATATCCGGTAATTTTCTTAGTCGCCTTTGATCTAGATGACGTCAGGCTCACCACACTCGAGTAAGATGGTAGTGCCGTCATTTCCGTAAGGGAGTCATATATCAATGGACTTATTAATTGTCCACTGTCCAAACTGCATTTAGGATACGTATCGAGAATTTCAAGTTGGTGGTGACCCGAGGATTGGAGTCATGTAGAGTACTGAAAAAGGAGTGTTTCGTAGAATAATGGAATTACATGAATGTTAAGTCCATACGTCCACTACCTATGTACCTATGGAGGTATATGTACCTACACGCGCGAATCGGATATGCACGAAGTACAGCCCCGCTTCGACCAATGACCCCTCATAAATCCCATAAGGGTCTTGATCGCCCTAGCATTAGGGTCTTTTACGTAAGAAGCAGGGTCACGTTAACCGGGTACACCTAAATTTCTACGCGGGGTGAAATTTTTGCTCGTTTTCTTTTTTTTTAATCTTTACATTCATCAGCACATCCGATTCTTAATCAATCTTTTTTGATTGCTCACAGACGATAATTCTCACCGTCTTCAAGGCTGAGTCCAGTGCAAGAATATGATATGCCGTTCGTTTGAGGGAATCCGATATACGCTAGACATCGGGTTCCCATGGTAAATCTCGGCGACATTGCAATTTGCAGTCTCCTGCATTTCTTGCTTCTCTTGCGTTTCATTCGATTCTCTTGTGGGCGACACGTGTCATCGAATACGGCGTTTCATCGGATATGCAAGCAAGTCAGTTGAATTATATTGTGTCTGCTCAATAGTGCTGTGACCATTGTCAAATATAAATTTGAGTAATAAATGGTCTATTATTGCAGAAAACTACAGGAAATAATTGTCATTGCTTAGGTAGCTACCTACTTATAATTCACTGCAACCAGGCATTCCTCCAAGCGAGGGGTACATGTGTTTCTCTCCCTTGCCATACCATTAATTGCTACCAGTGTCTTCGACCTGCCCTGTAATTCTCACCGGAACAAGAGCTTCTATGGTTGCTCAAAGACATATCTGTCGATCTCGTTAAGTATTAGGTCATCCGCATCCTTGACAAACTTATATGTCCTATACTCCACGTTCTGATATTTTGGCCCCTTGATGACTCTCTTCAAGAATCCCGAGTGTGTGACAACGACGATGCATTCCTCGGGACGTTCAAAGAGCCATTGTTTGGCGAATGACGCTCTCTTCTGGAAGGCATCTTCCGAGTTTTCATACATACCAGTCTTCTGAGGATAGACTGGGTCTAAGGTCGAGAAATCAAAATCGGGCCATTCACCTTTGATTGTAGTAGGATGATCGCCAATATCACAGGGTTTATCTGTGGTTTCCTGCACATGGTTAGTATTCCAGCGGTCGGTTTCTCAGTGATACGTTATACATACCTGCCATTCTGCACGAACCTCTGTAGGAACTCCACGATCTCGAAGCCACTGCAGACCATATTGTACGGTCTGTAACGTCCTTCTCAAAGGGCTCACTATTATGCGGCACGCATTTGGAGCAAAGTTGAAACTCGATTCAAGTTTTGCTGCGAGAGCTTTGCATTGTTCTATACCCTTCTCAGTCAGGACTGGATCAGGTAATTCCCATTCGTGTGTCTATTATGTTAGCCCCTTATATTCTAGCCAAGTGGTTGGAGATGACTTATCGGCAATATCTATAATCTGTTAAATTCTGCCTCAATAAAACGTGGGGTAGACACTGACTGTGTAGAGCTTCGGCGTGGCGTATTAGAATGATGACTGGTGCCATCTTGAATAAAGCACCCAGATATGTTTTAGGCAAAGGGATGAAGTAAAGAGCAAACTGGAATTTTCTTGGCGCTCTCTTCGGATCGATGCATATTATATATCTATATCGGATGTAAATGAGTCACAATATAGATATCTGACACTTTGTTGTGGTTGTTTTACAAGATTAAACAACTGATATCTAAGAATCTAAAAACAAGACCTATTGAATGCAACAGGTAGGCTCGTAAGAAGCAGACTTTGAAGCTTCATAATGTAACAATTCGTTATTCATAAAAAGCCGAATTCGGTCAGCGAAAAGAATGAACCCCTTTTGGCTGGCTTTGTTACAACCAATCAAATCTCTCCTTACTGAGAATGCCGCCACAGACCGCACAACTCCATATATTGCTAGCGTCTCATTCGTTGAGCCGGCTATACCCGTATACTTACTACGTATCTCTCTTAAGCCTAGCAGCCAAGGCTAGGGCTCACCTTACTATCACATCTTGACGATATGACTGTTTCTTACAACCTAATGAACTAAAGACAGCGTCTAGATTTTCTCATGGTCTTTTCTGCTAGAAATGAGTTTAAGGTCGATCTTAGGAGGCTCCAGCCGGGTTAAGAAGTCCTCCAAGAAGTCCGGCGCAAAACCGTCTTCGTCTTCGCTATCCTCATGGGCTTCTTCTCTGCCTCGTCGCAAACCTGGACCCAAGCGTGGGAAATCGTTAGCAGGGGATGAAGATGATGGGGATGATTTCTTTAACGATAAGCTCGATGACTATGGGCTTGTTAAGGCCCTGGTGACCGATCTGAACTTGCGCGACGTTCCCCAAGCTATCTTGTACATCCGTAGTCATATGTTCTCCCCTATGCCCGAGCAAGCAGCCGGAATGAACTCTACTAGAATCGCAGAAGTGCTCAACTATCGGAAGTGTCTTCCCCCAATCGTAACCGTATCACATATACAGGCTCTACTCTCGTCGCCGAGTGCGGTAGAGCGGGAAATTGCCGAACTCGCGCGGGCTGGATTTCTGCGCAAGGTAGTTGTTCCTGGGAGGGGGGATATAGGTGAGACTATAGTACTCGCCGCAGACTTTGAGCAGCTGGTGAAAGATTCTACGATACTAGATAAGAATACGAAGGATAGCCTGGCCAGGCTGTTAAAAGAGAACCCAGGAGTCCAGGCGCTTGGGCCGAATGCTCTTCGTGCGTCCGAGATAGATCAGCTTATTAAGGCTGGATTTTTGATAGCTAATCATACCGGCGCAACTCGCTATGGCTCCACGTCCCATAATACAAACTTATATTCGCGACCGGAGGATAAAATCACACTCACATCACTCGATATTATTTCGAAACAACCAACCGGCTCCCTTGGTGCCGTAGGAGGTGAAGGTGTAGTCCACAAGACCGGCGGCACCGGAGGTGGCTCACTCGGCGCATCCCGGTTCGACGCCACCGGCACGGAGCTCAGACTCGCTGTGCCTGGGAACGGCACATTCCTAAAGCTCATTTCCTCCGCGCTCGAGCACCTTGTCTCGTTGTTAGGCAAGTCGCGGTTCCGCGAGGCGCCGGAGACGGTGCTTAGGGATCGGTGGGACGGAGGTATCGCCAAAGAAGAAGCACGCTATGCAGCTAAGCGCTCGCGAGGAGAGTTTGCGAGTATCTTACCTGGACAGACCAGAAAGTGGAGGCAGTTCTACGGGCTTTCTTTCGACTGGGTCTTGCAGGAGGCGGTTGGATCCGGTTTAGTTGAAGTTTTCGACACCCGAAGCGTCGGTCGCGGGATACGTGCGCTATGAGTTTTTGAGCATTTGGTAGATGTGCAAGAACATCTTAGAATCACCCTTCACCGCCCGGATGTATTAGACACATCCCCGTTTGTGCAACACAGTCCAGAGTACAAATTCCACTGCTGGACACGATACCATCGGATTAGGCTATACGGCTTACGATGCAAGCCGCGAGACGAACATCATACGATCGAGGCAACTAGTTTCTAGTTCAGTTTGCTTGACCTAATGCTTTTCAAGGAACACAGAAGAAACACGCGGAGCCTTTAGTCATAACTATGTATCCATTTTGAAGAACTTTGTCCGCAGTAACAGCTGAAGCCGAAGGCCAACATAAATGATCGCCATCATGGCAGTAATCAGAACCGATACCATGGATGGTATGGTCATTACGATAAGATAGTTTACGTCGATCAGAAACCCGAGAGCAGACACATGAAACAGCAAAGCAGAAACGTAACCACGGGCCGGTATCACATTGATTCGCGGATCCCCAGTAGATCAGGGCCGTGATCATTCCCAAGCATCACCAGCGATCTAAAGTGTCACACCTGGTTATGGGAACGGTAGAGCAGGTCAGCTGGGTTATTAGCTTGTGGCGTAGAGCTACCATCATACACAGAGCAGTCACATTCCAACATGCCGTACTCTACCGTATCCGCATCTGTAGAACAATACGATAAATCAAACCGGTATAGCCGACATGGTCAGAGTTCGGGAAGCTAGCAAGGCTATGAGACTTCCCGAGAAGACGTTCAAGCCTACCCCGTGTCCCCGCCCTAATTCTGGCTGAGCCCTCCGAAATACCCATCCTTGTACTTATCGGGACAAGGACAAGATCTCGAAAGAATACATACATTGTGTACTGGAACTAGATGCAAGCTCTTTATGCGCTGCCAGAGTTGAAACGCTGCACTACGCGACTACACTAATAGCAGTAGCCTTATATATGTACACCTTACCTGTCGCTGATATAGGGGTTTAGCCTGGGACGGCCCGTAGCCTCGGAGGCGTAGCTACGACTAATCACTTACCTAATACCTCTTAAAAGGGATCATCCGACGTTCTATGGAATCATAGGAGAAAAGTAGAGTCCCCTTTGTCTTTTTTTAAAAAAAAAATTTCCTTAAAAGGCCACTATAGACGAGATGGTATTCCAGGAGGGTGGTATGATTCCCACGTATGCATGTAGCACGACGTAATTGGCAAGCATTGCCGCATCTTAATCGCAAGACTTACTTGGAATGACCCCTATCTTTATGAAACGACGTGAGCAGATGGGCCATGGAAGATCTCTTGGAGAAGAGGATAATCTTTTGACTTTCTAGGGGTATTTATTTAATGCTACTTACTTAGGCATGATAAACGTGTTTCTACTTACTTAGACAATCTATATGAACGAACCCCTAGTAGCCTTAATGCATCTGCGATCTAAATGGAGTTTCACTTTAACGATGGGAATTTTCCGTAGCTGAGACTTGGGCTGAGCCATGTCCCCCGCGGCCAGCATGCGTGTATGTAATAGGTATGTATGTAAAGCTGGAGGAGTGAAGACGTATTTATTTCCCGAATAGAAACTCCCTGACGGTTCCCGATAAACCTGACTCTCGGGTGCTTGCGCGATAAGCCACGCATCGCATCGCAACCGCATAAGGCTAAGCTTTTTAGTCGTATGTACATAAGAGCGGGATGAATGAATCCTTGGGCGAACAGGCGGAGACAGCAGCGCGTAATTCCAATATCACAGATTAGACGGTTAGGATTTAATCACGTACATATCTCCATATTATGCAACTATGGTACGCAAATGTGGGATGGAGTGCATAGGTGACAGACCCCCTTGTACATACTATATAGTCCGTGCAGCCTATTCAACTCTTATTACTACCTACCTACCTAGCCTACTCGGTGCATAGAATGCTTACAATGCGTGGGTGATGCATGGGGCACAGACCTAACATCTTGCAGAAGCGATAGCATGGTTGACAAATTCCGAAATTACCATGATTAATCGGTTGTCTCGACGCATATTGAATAATCGAAGATCTTAAACCAATAAGCCGTCGAGATAAGTACCACATGACAGAGCTGTGATGAGAGAAACTAGTAGATGCGCGTAAACAAAGGACCCCTGAGCCCTGAGCCTGATTGACAGTTGATCGTGGGGGAGGCACAGATGGATTCTTTAAAAGCTTTTCGTCACCCAAATGAATTCTCCCCACTTCGTCAATTCAGGGTCATGGTTAGCAGAATTTGTACATACCGAAGCCAACCTGAGCTTAGACGGCATTTGAGATTTGTAGTAATTTGTCAATAGTGTCTCCAATGCCGCCCACCTACGACGGGAAAGAAATATGGCCCTTTGGGATCAGCTGCTGTACCTGCGTAGGTGAAGTTCCATTGCGTCTGCAACTGTGACTCCCGCTCTTGCAGTAGGTAGGCCCAAAAATCATACCTGAGCGGATATGTAGTCTGTTTGGGTCAACGAATACAAGACTCTCGACTGATCCGCCACGAAGCATGAATGCAAGCAACTCACATACGCACAAAATAGCGGACCATGCGGGAGAACCTTCGACGAGTGGGAACAGGAGATAAGCTTAAGATCACTTACCTTGTAGAACGTGTACCCATTTACGAAGAAGAAAACGACATTTTACTGCCGTTAGCATTGGGAGTAGGTACCTCTCGCGATGTCTTCAATGCATCACCCTCTTTGTCAAAAGGGGAAAGTATTCCGTAGGCAGATGGAGTAACCAGGGGTCCAAGATAGCCCTGTTGGTCCGGCAGAAGGGTTTGGCAGCTTTCTCATGGAATGGAAGCTCAATGAGTCTCAAGCTCAATTGATAATTCTTGATGAACAGTAGCCCTGCCAACTAGCGTAGCCCTCCATGATAAAGGGGTTTCGAATAAGGTACTGCAAAGTCTGAGACTCGTGGCATTTGAGCTGATGTTGTCCCGCCCTGTTAGAAAAGGGAGAATAAAAGCAACGCCAGTGGCATTAATTATTTCTATTCTAGTTGTCTCCCATTCCGGAGCCGGGCAATTCGCGCCAGCCACAACCGAGAGACCTTTTTCGTTTGGAATTGCCACGAGCAAGTGAGACAGGGCGTAAACGTGGAAAAGTCGCGCAAGCCAGCAAGCCTTCATAATTGTTGATGGAAATTGAGAGGATCGTCGAAGCCGAGCCTGTTATTAATACGCGAAGTTACTTTCTCGTCGAAAAAACGAAGCCTCTATCACACGCGACAGGGGACCCCTTGTCGTGAAAAGCGTGCTTATCCAATCCCTGGATCTGGACCATACTTGGAGAATGGCCCGTGATTGTGCGAACCCCTACAGCAATCTTGGCTCTAATTTGCATATAAGGTACTGTATTGGTCAAACCTGTATCAGGGGTTCGTTAATGAGGGAAAGGATGAAGATACACCCTAGTTGCCTTGGTCGTCATTTGGTGTTGTCGTACCTAACCGACATCTATTATTCTCCTTTTTCCGACTCGAATCGTGCTGCATTATCAAGAAGAATCCATCGCAATCGAGGATGAAGATGTAAGTTGAAGGTTAGTCGCGTCAAATATTGCCGATACATGTAAAAGGTAGCAACTTTTAAGGTTACCTAGCATATGTACCTAGCGCAGAAATGTGACGAGTCTAGGTACAACTTAAGCGGCTTCGACCGTGATATATGTAGGTACGTGCAACTTAAAATATTACAGGGTACTTCCTACCCTAGGGTAAGCTTCTAGTCGTACATAGTACCATTCTCTCATCCCCCGGAACCCGCGCCAAACCCAAAGCAGCCCAACCGTTAAGCCATGACCACATCAAGGCTGGTAACTTTCATGGGACGGATGAGAGCATTGGGGAGCATTGAGAGAGCACCTTCCACAACCTATCGTCCCTCCTCTCCACTGGAGGTTCGCGAACTTTACCTACCTAAGTTCCTAAACCTTCGCGAATACTCTTTCGAGAGCATTCATCGTTCTGCTTGAGGTAGCTACCCAAGCTTGACGCTCACCATTCACCATTCGCCATTCGCCCTTGTTTCGTTTTGTTTCACGTACTTACGTACCTACTTAGTTAATTTGTACCTTCGATACCTCTTTTTACTTCTGCGATACCTCCACACCTTCATTTGCTTTTTTCTCTTTCCACCCAAAATAGAAACGACTACGCGGTGTCTCTGAAAAAAGGTGTCTCGGCCCTATCTCCTCTACAAAGACCTCAATCAAGAAAAAGTAGATCACACAACGAGCCGCGACAAAAAGTACCAACCACCGATCTAGTCTCATTTGTCCTTTGTATCCGTTGCCGTCCCGTGAAACCAGGAATTGCTGGATCCTTCCACCGTCGGTTTCCGGCAATTTATCTCTTTGACTTCTAAGATACCCTAAATTGAAGACGTCAGCTATTCTCGACCGGGTTCCGATACCGCGATACTAGCTGTACGTTTACATATCTATCTACTTAGCTTATGGATAGAGTAAGTTCATCAATTAGCATATCTGTATACACCACGCAGGGTTTCTTTGATTTCGAATCTGTGACGTATTGACAAGTAACTTAGAATAGCTTAATACCTTCGAAGAAGCTGGCTTAGATTCTTGTTCATGTACGTGGGGATTTGTCGGTGACTTATCCTACTAGTCATACATATCGACATCTCTCCTAAATTTGTGAGGGCGCATTGCTTGGTCGCGACAGTATAACCAGCTCGACCTCCTGTTGGACCGATTGTCGCCCGCACTCGATTACTTTTCGACGACCGAATTGGAGGACGCGACGTTCATTCTGAGAGTGGTCTGTTAGCGAAGACTTTAGCTATGGGACGCAAAGGATGCTTCTGATCTTATAATCTTCTATTCGACAATTCGAATCTCCGACCCGATTCGCTAGCGATATTCGGTGAGAACCCCGAAGTTTATAGGGCTGTATTTGATACGAAAGTAACGCCGTCGAACGAATCTCCCGCTCGTCTTGTGTCAGGCCATAGACATTTTATACCATTGACATCATGGCGACCACCTTACCCAGACCGCGTGCTTCGAATAGCACTTCATCAAGTACTCTTCCAGTTCTACCCGTCGCAAAGACGCGAAAGAGCACCGGCGGCTTTACATCTCCTAGTACTCCAGCTTCACCTAGGAGTGGCCTTCGAGCACCCTCAGCAAACGCATATTCTGGACCTCCTCCGTCCCCTGCGCCTACCACGGCACTACCGATTCCAAGGAGCTCTCACGGGATTAATAGTGCTGGAAGGACCATTAGAAAAACCGTTAGTATAAACTCATTTCCTCAACCGCCGAGCCGCACTGCAACCCATCCCCCGAGTCCCTTGTCTGGATCGATCACACCCGCGAGAAAGGCGCGCACTCCGCAGCCAACGTCTAAATTGGCGAGCGCCCCGAGTTTAATAAATGGTGGCGCAGATGGCAAATCGTTTCTGGGCGGCGCTGGTGGGAGGCACTCAGATGGATTTATTAGTGTTTCGTCTCCGCCGCAAAGCCGAAGCTCTTCTGCCCAGGATTCGTACTCGACATCGGCCACCACATACGATGATCCAGCCGATGGAGCGGGGACTTCAGTCGGTGACAAGCATACTTCTAAAGGAATGGAGGGTAAGGGAAACGTCCTTGTTAGCGTTAGGGTTAGACCAGACGCCGGAGGTAACGGGAATAATAACCCGGAAGGCGAATGGATGGTAGATGGCCGCCGGTCTCTAATAGCTTATCGCGGCCGCGAAGGAGGCGATTATTTTTACGGTAAGTGCGCAAGAATCCTGGTATATGTTGACAATGAAGCTAACTAGCGGATAGATAATGTCTTCACGACACATGATGATAATAGCAGAGTCTATGATCACCTTGCTAAACGCTTAGTTCGTCGGGTTATGGAAGGATACCACGGTACCGTATTCGCGTATGGTATGACGGGTACTGGCAAGACTTTCTCCATGCAGGGAACTGCGTCGTCACCTGGCGTGATCCCGCTGGCTATAACGGACATTTTCTCATATATCCGCGAAACTCCATCTAGGGAGTTCCTGTTGCGTGTCAGCTATCTGGAAATCTACAACGAAAGGATCCATGATCTCCTAAGTATGGCTTCCGGTAATGGTGCTGGGGCAGCCGCGCAAGAGGAAATCAAGCTACGGGAAGATAGTAAACGGGGCGTTTATGCCACGCCCTTGAAAGAAGAAATCGTCCAGAGCCCGACTCAACTCTTACGAGTGATTGCCCGTGGTGATCAAGCTCGAAGAACTGCAAGCACGCAGTTCAATGCCAGGAGTTCGCGCAGTCATGCCGTTGTCCAGATCGTTGTTGAGAGTAGAGAGCGCATTCCTGGCGGCTCTGGTGGAGATAGCAAGCGTTCAGGCATGCTTCCGGGTGGTGTTCGTGTTTCCACACTAAGCTTAATCGATTTAGCTGGCTCAGAAAAAGCTGCTGAAACGAAGGAACGCCGGGCGGAAGGTTCTCATATCAACAAAAGTTTGCTAACACTAGGCACGGTCATATCGAAGCTTTCGGAAAACAAGGAGGCCAAAGGAGGTGATAAGGATGCGAAGCATCTACCGTACCGAGATAGCAAGTTAACCAGACTTCTCCAAGGAGCACTCTCTGGAAACTCGCTGGTCAGTATTTTATGTACAATCCAGACAGGCGCAGCCAATAGTGCGGCTTCCGCAAACAGCCATGCGACCGAAACATTGAATACGCTCAAGTTCGCTTCGAGAGCGAAAAACAGTATTGTTAGCCATGCTAAACGAGCCGAAGAAGCCCTCGGCGCTGGTGGAGAGGGAGGAGCAAGAGTTCTCCTAGAGCGTTACCGAATGGAGATACAAGAGCTGAGAACTCAGCTCGAAACCCAAGCCAAGTCAGGTAATAGCAAAGTCGAGGATGAAGACAAGGTCAAGGATGAGGAGGAGGAGCGCGTTCGAGAAAAAGAAGCGGAAGCAAGACACGAGGAGCAAATGTTAGAAATGCAACTCGCACGCACGGCGTTGAAAGAGCGTATCGACCATTTGAACCGCTTAATTCTCAGCTCGAAGTCTACGGGAGTTAACGCCGGCGGGACGTATAGTTCGCTTGGAATGCATACCAGGTTTTCTCAGGCGTCTCTACGGACATCAATTGCCACATCTAACGGTAGCCATTCGTTGCTAGAAAGACCCGGTTCCATGGGCTCTTCAGCATCCACTATAGGTCAGAGATCGATCAGGAAGCGACGCTCTAGCATAGGTGAACAGGCATCAAATGATGAGGAGGACAGTCTGGGCGAATACGGTGACGGCACGGCATCCTTGCAGGCCCAGAATCAGGCGTTGCAGGCAGACCTCGCCGATAAGAACCGATATATCGCTACTCTCGAGAAGCGTCTCTTACAAGCACGGCGTGCTAGCTCGTCACGGACTTCGAGTGGATTCTCGGCGCCGCACAAGGGCATCATGGTTGGAGAAGACCATAGTGTTTCCACCCTAATGAAGGAGAAAGACGCCGAGATCGCGGAGTTAAGGGCGAGGCTTGAAGACAAAGACCGAATGTTGTCAGCTCTGCGCAGTGCAGCTCGCTCGAGAGACGCTGCCGAAGGAATCGATACTTCGAGGAGCGAGACTAGATCATCTCTACTGTACGAACAAGCGGCAAGCCCACCGCCCCAAGGAGCTCTCCCCGATCCACCGGTCTCCGCATCTAAGGGTCAATCGCCGATTCGAAAACGGACTAGGAGCGTTGACGAAATGAGCCGTATCCTAGATGAAATGATTCAGGACCGAGTCGAGGCAGGCCACATCGTCAGGGGCGTCCGTGGCAGCGTTCAGGTGGCTAATGAGGAGAAAGGCGAGACCGTAGCCGAGCCAGACAATACAGAACTCGAACCATTGCGACAAAGCCCAACATCGATATTTAACGAGTCGAAGCAAGTCGTGCTGGAGGCGTAGATATCCCCATGTGCGATTCAGGAAGCAGTATCCATCATATTTGCGAATTAACGTGGCGTTCCGGTTGGGCTCTGCTTCCGCCGTTTGTTTTTATACCCTATCAGATTCATCTGTTTGCTACGCTTTGGAGCCTGTGGAACGTGAATGTCCTGACGAAGGAAAGGAGGTTGACGGGTCGTTTCGGCCGTTTCTAAGCCGTCGGACAATGACTA